TTGATGATTTAATAATAAATTATTTATTTAATATTAGATTATTAAATGATCATGAAACAGATACAGAAATCTGAGGCCCAGACCTAAAAAGGTTGAAGCGCCACTGATTATTATTATTAATAATAATTTTACAGAATATAATTTCTTTACATTTCCTTAAGCACATTAGGTTGCCATGTATGACCCTAGGAATGATAAGTTTAATTTAAGCCTGTTGGTTAATCTTGTATTAGATCTAAAAATGCGTTGTATGGTTTTGATGAAAAATATTTTGTATATAGGATTTGTATGATTTTGAATTGGTCAATGCGTAATGTTAGGTGATGTTATCAAACGTAGGAGGTACTGTTTCTACTTTCTCTACTTGATCTTAGTCTAAGTACATAATGAATATGTATACAAAGCCCCTAATAAATACGATTAGGCGGCGCATTTCGACGACGCGTCTACATATTAACTATCGAGAAGTTAAAGGCATTGGGTTGAATTCCTTAAGACAAACTAATTACACTAGAATCCTTTGCAGTTTTTTGTTACTCTTGCGTTTTCCCGGAAATGTAAATTAGGTTTAAAATGTCTTAAGCGGTAACAAGAAACGACTAAGTTCGGTTTGGCTTAAGGTAGACACATGTCTGCGTTTGTATATGGTCATGTATCAGCTAGTAATGACCGGGAATAAAAGGGTTAACAGGAGTTCAGTTCGGTGGCGGTTGTTGGAGGGATGTTCAAAAAAATGAAACTATGTCGAAGCCAAGTGTCAACTGTCATTAATCTGTCTAAATTGACATTATGGGTTCTTAAAACTAAGAAACTCTCTTCTGTTCTGATCTGTTACCTATAAAGAATATAAGTGATGTCGACCTATTGTACATTTTTGTAATGATAGATTACAATTTAACTTTAGCTTCGAGAAATTACATAGGAATAATAATCATTGTCGGATTATTATTCCTATGTAATTTCTCGAAGCTAAAGACGCAAAACGTAGTGAGAATATAAATGATATAAGAAATGGAGAGTCTTTGAAGCTCACTTATTTCCTGCACTTTGAATCGAAGTCATCTTTTGGCTGCAAAAAGTTGTCCCAACTTTACAATTTCAATATCCGCCGGACGACAGCTCTCATTTCCTTCTTGATTCGTGAATTAGATTGTGGAATATGGTCTGCTATCTCGGAAACTTGGTTATCAGTAACTTTATGGCTATTATAATGGTTATTTAGAAGTTAAAACAGCAAAATTATTATAAATTATATACGTCAAAGTACAGTAATCACCGACCATAACGCGTTTTGTATAACGCGATTCTCAACCTCCATATAGTGCGGTATTGCCCCCCATTAACTTACTAAAGTAAGTAAGCGGAGAATACTCAAGAAAACCAGTATTGACTGTGTAATAAAAATCTTTCCGTATATTGACTGATGTATTTCTACGAACAGATATTTCCAATTTCAATCTTCAAGAACGAGTTCTGCGTAAAGTGAATTACGATACCTATAACGGGCGTTGTCATGGCAACCATTACCGGGTACCTCCGTGATTTCCGTCATGACAACAAGCAGGGCCGGATTGGCCCTTACGCTTTTTGAAATTAGAGGCCCCGAGGACATCTTAAAGATTACCTTATGAGCCTGTGGAGGAAGTGACCACTTCCTCGATTAGTCTACTGACCCGTACGTGGCTGATGTCAAGATCTGTTGGATGTGTATGCTCAGCAATCAGGACCACTTCCATAGTGCTACTCGGAGTATGACGTCATCGTACTTATTGTAGATGCAGACTGCCAAATATAAGAGCGGTATCCTAGAAGTACTGTTACTTTATTTAGAAAGTACTGTAATCTATTATCTATATTATACATTTGTTAGAGCAGTAATTATTATTGTAATATAGTTACAGTTCTATTTGGAGGAACAAAATGTTTATGCAGTTTGTATTCTTGGAATAGTGTTGATTTATCGAATATGCGAAAAATTATAATTTTTTACTCCCAGAACTCGGCTCGAAGGACCAAAATGTACGGTTTCTAGATCAAAAGGGATTCTTTAAATGATATAGGTTATAATTTTCACGCCATATTTAGTTTTTACGATTGAGGAATAATTAATATACATATATAATACCCGTTATTCTGTGGTGTAAATAAGTTATCGTATATGAAGAGAATCGTGGGAAATTCGCAGTCCAACGTGAATATTACATCAAGTTTATAACAAGTAACTTTTTCGTTGTTTGAAAGGGTGAAAAACTTTGATGGATATGGCGTCTTTGACATCTCTTTTAATATTAAAAGGGACATTAATGGAAAAATAGCTTGGATGTACGAAGTGTTTTACTTTAAAAGTAGTGTGGATTTTCTGTAATAAGATTGACTTAGTATAAATTATTGGAAACACGTACATTGGTATAATGGGTAGAGTTTTTCAATTAATAGGCCTAAACAGTTATGTTATTTTTGGATCTATCTAGGCTAGCACTAAGAGTGCTTCAGAGTGCGACTCTTATCCCTGACCGTAGCTTATGTCGCACCAATGTACTTTCTATGTGCGCATTTAATACTCGCTTATACGGTGAAGGAAAACAACATGCCTAAATTTTTTTGAATACTTGTCTATTATTAAGATCAAATAAGCAGACCTGAAAGGTTCTTCTCTTCTCTTGTACGCCATTGGTTTTTATTTCAAACTGTCTTTATAATAAATAGTTATAAAAATATACATCAAAACATACAAAATACAATTAAAACCGAAAGTGTGGTTTTAAGTAAAATGAATACGTTTCTCTGGTCTTTGTCGTTAATAATATATAATTTAATATATTCACATACAAGGCACTTAGCCAGATTCAAGATAATTTCCATTCAAAACTGTAGTTGTTAACGTTCAAAGCACGTTAGATTAATCTATGCGAGTCGATCGCGTTCGATCGAATCTTCAAAGCTTATCGCTACGTCGACAAACGGGTGACGTTAGGCGGACTATACATGTGGTAGATCTCTTCAAATGAAACGATAATTTTTATAATTATGCAAGTTTTTTTTGCATTGAGGCTGTGCTTGTAATTAAGTTTTTCAGTTATAAGTTCTTTACTATTTCTAGCTCTTGTTTCGTTTATTGTAACGCATAGCAAATCCAATACATTTTTGAAGTACTGGAGTTAGACATAGACTAAGTCACGTTTACGAAACTATTAGTTTGTTAGATGTGATAAATAAATTCAATACGTTAATCTTGATTGCTCTTAAAATGGCGGTTTAACGGCAAACTTCTTCTTATTTTGAGAACTTGCATAGCAATTTCATTTGAATAAATCACGCGTTGGGATCCTAACACAATTTTAGAGGCTTCAATCCTTGTGCAATTGTGGAAGAAAGCTTTCGTATAAGATTATTTTTGTAACGTAAAGAACCTTGCAACAATATTAATGGATTCCCTTTTATAATCTAATATAGTTAAATTTTCTTCAGCGTTCTACGGGATCACAACATTTTGTTATCCTTTAATAAAACTCACCGAAATTATACCCTGCGAAAACCACCTTATTAAATATTAAATATAATATGCTAAGAAATTGAAGAAATCTATCATAGGAAAATTATATTTGGAGTGGTTATAAGCCGACGAGGCGCGGCGGGAGTCTCCTGGCTGTTTAATCCAAATCCTTTCATCGAGGTATAGTGATTTGATTGAAATGTTGGTTTTCATATGAAATTATTATATGGCTTATTTTATATGTAATGCTGTGATTAAATTTACAAAAGCGAATTAGTTCTAAGTACACTTTAAAATACATAACGGAGTTCACAAACCAGATATTTGTTAAGTAAATTTCGAAAATCATAACAGTAAATATTGCTTATTACACGGCAATACAAGATAATAAAAACTGTAATAATTGACACCACTATCTTAAGGTCCATTTCTGAATATATTTAAATATCAATAAGAAGGTTATTTCCAGTATTTTTTACCAAACTGTGAACCTATATTTAGTAACTGTCTTCCAAACGATCGGATTATTTTTTTTTAAATTTAAGTTGAAATAAGCAGAAAATTTGAATATCTCAAATTCAATTTTAGATTCAGTGGATCGTCGTTTCACGGGGTATAGGGTAACTGGGTCAAAGCAATATGAGTGCTCGACACCGGGTAAAACCTGACCCTTGCCATCCAATGACATTTATGCAGCTAAATGTGCTGAAAATTGCGTATCAAGTGCCAGCGAAATGGTATTTTAGAGATTTAAAAACGTTACATTTAGACTAGAATTGGTCGCGATATAAGAGAGATACATATTTTCGGTTACAAATGTTTAACTTAAAATACTTACCTACAAAAAAAATAGTTTGTTAATTTTAATTGATTTTCAATATTTTTCTATTTGTGTTTGGAATTTTTTTATGATTTTCGTGTATGCATTTTTTTTATTTATTTATAGACGTACAATTTCTTGGACGTGGTGATTAGAAAATTCTTATTAGTTATTTTCTTAGAAAGCACACAATACAACTTTACCCTTTACTTTTAACTTTAGGTATACCTAATAGACCTATTGTCATGGTAATTTTCTATTTTTTCTCACATTATGTAAATTCTGTACCGTGGTAACCGCGACAGATTTTTTTTGCCACATATCTAAGCTGTCCACCACGTTGGATGGTGGAACGAACTATATGTTATATTTATTATTTTTATCAGTGTTTCGTGGATTACCATACCGATTACTGATATCTTAGTAATCCGTAGTTGTAATAAGTGATTTCCAATTAATATCGGTCGTAATTCGGTTATCTAAAAACGTGTTTTATAGATCGAAATTAATGTAGACTTAGTTATGGAATTTATTACTTATAATCAATTTAGTTTATAGTTACAATTTTAAAGACGCATGGTTAAAGAAATATTATTAAAACCCTTCGATATCATACGAAAATATTTTAGTTTCGTAAGTTTTTTAGAGTAGGTACACGGTTATTAATTTTTGAATTTCGAATTCCAGATGAAGTGGACGTTATCGGCTACACGTCGAACCAGAGCGACAGCGAGTCGCTAGTGAGCGGCCACAGCGGTGACAGTGGCGTGGGCGTTGGTGTGGGCGGACGCAGGCGGCGCTGTACGAAGCCCGCGCGTTCTCGTTACACCAGGGTCTAGGTCAGACTATTTATTTATTACGTATGATGCCCTCTAATAAGGAATAGAACAATTTCTGAATCACATAATAATTTCTTGAGAAAAAAACGGAACATACCGACCTAATCGCTGGTTCCTTTAAAAACTACCGTCAAGGATATCACAAATAAATCGCCATTATACATTCATACATAATATATTTGCAATTGTTATTGGTGACGGAACAACTAGTAAACTACGAGAATCAGAAAAAAATATAATATTACTGGTTGAGGCTCTAGTCTGTGTGCTCTGATTTGTACTTGTAGAAAAAAGTTTGCATTTAGATTTTCGTCTATATATGTTTGTATTTTATTACGTGAAAAATATTTTTTTTGCGTGGATAATTAATTGTCTGTATTTTATTTGCAGGTGGGCAGTGCGCGGTGCGAGCGCGCGGCAGCGGCCATGTTTGTTGCCGCGCGTGACTCCGTAACGTAAAAACAAACGTAGGACATTTTGTTGATTCATGTACTGGGACGACTGTTGTTCGTGACTGAGTGGGGATCCCGTCCCGTGACATCACTAGTGACTCCCGGAGTGACCGCGCCGCACCGCGCTACTTTTATCGCGATTAAAACGCGACACAACGCGACACCGCGCAAACGACACACCGCTAACCATTACCGAGTACAAAATTGCCAAAAAAATACTTTCGTTTCTTCTCTCTTTTGTTTTGGATTGAATGTTTAAATTATTTTGTCACCCGCTTCTTCCATTATCATCACAACGGGCGCCGATGTTCAGCCGCCCGACCCAACTGTTACATCTTTGGTTATAATTTTTTTCAAGTCAAAGTAAAATCTTTAGGTACTTATTGTTACTGGTTTTACAATATAAGTGTCGCTATCGTCTCAAATAGCGAATGTTGTATAGATAAAATATCAATATTATATTTTTTGTATATAATTATTTTTTCTTGTATAAATTAATCAAATAGAATTAGATCTGTAAAGGCGAGACTAAATTCTATATAATTTTGGGGTTCATCATTATGGCAACCCACCAAAAAATTAAATTAAGTTCTAACCTTTTTTATATAAAAGTAATGGTAGTAAAAATGCGGCTGATTTTTATCAATGAAGTCGTTGAATTTACTTTGTACCTTTGACGTGTCAAAAATTTCTCTGTGCTAATCTCAACTTTAATACTAATAATTTCAATCTGTATGGCACAAATACAATAAAAGGACACGTTTTTTATCAAAAAAAACTAACATCCTATGTTTAAGTATTAAATATTGATTTATTAATGATCTCACTTCATTGTCATGAAACTGTACTGGTAATGTGTCATTGTTTTAAAGGACTTAAAATTAAATGTAAAACATAAGACTTAGTATTTATTTAGACAGAATTAATATTTACAAGCTTCAGGCATTCTAAATTTATATAGTATGTACAGAAAGATGACATAATTACTAGGCGGATTTCGATTTATATGGACACTCGTACCAAAAAAATATTTTATGAAAGCTCGACAATACAATCTTGTTGATAAAGCAAATAGCTGAAGTTAGAGTACACAATATATTTTTGTTATTACTATTATATCTTATAATTAATAAATTGTTAATTCATTTTCTAAGTACGAATGGTATCTTATGTTTTAATTTCTTTGACATGTATCGAATCAGTGTTGCCAGTTATCAGTAATAAAGATTATTGATGTTTCGAAAATCAAATTTTATTACATCGATAGTCTATGGCAACACTATAAATCTCATCACTTTGGACCCAATTATTATCAATTCATTCATATTGTAAGTGGTTTGACGTATGGATGTATAAGTATAGTTGTAATCATTTGTAATTATGTTTGTTTTAGAAATGACAGCCTGATCTCTTAAGATTATATCAGTTACGGCCGAGCCGTGTGTCCGTCGGGCGCCATTCGCACTCAAACTATCCGCGCTCTTCATCCGCCAAAATTGACATTGACATTTCATTTGGCCCCATCCGATTTATTATTTATGGTCTAATTTCGGTTTAGCTTTTTCTATTCCGTTTACAACAGTACTTATTACCATCAACGAGTAAGATCTAGTCCTTATTCAATAAAAGTCAATTTTGGTACTATCCTTGAATCGAGTATACGCCCGATGCCTGTCAGCTTTCAAAGTCAAGACCGCGAGCGACTCTCGTGTTGATTTCAATGCAGTTTATTTTTAATGGGAGGCCAGTAATCGTAAAGGTCGTTCGACACTAGAGTCGCCTCAACTTTGCGTCTATCAAGTCCTGTCTCAATCGTAAAGATTATATTCCTAAATATATTTTAATATATTATCACAAAATTATTTATTTTACATTATATTATTTTGATTATTTATATCGAGTACCAGTGTTTTGCTTCGACTCACATCCGCTTCGATCATCGCTCCAGTTTTGTTCGCGAGTGTAATGTGTTAGTGCGGCGACGGGACGCTATAAGAGTACAAATTCTGTGTAAGCCCCTACTTGAGTGTTAATTGTAAATGTTAATATTAAACACGAAACAGGGAGAAGGTACCAAGAAGCGCGTTGAGCGCGGGCGACAGTTGTAGCCAACGTCCAGTCTGATCTGCCTTCGGTGTTGTCTCTTCCTTAACTAAATTGTATCTGTATCCTATTGCTACAGTGAATTTGATTTGCGATATCTTCCGTCTGTCCTCTCTTCTAGTAGTGGTGCGCGTATGCGCCGTATATAAAACAGGTGTATCACTGTAACGATAGGGTATTAGAATAGGCGCCGCACTGTAAGCGCGCGCCACTCATTAGATAAGAAATGTGTTATTAGAAAAAAATTGCAATAAATTCTCGTCCGACGCCTCTCGCCGCTCCTCGACTGTTTACCCAACTTAGTCGCTGTATTATAAAATTTAGTCCGGCGTGTAAAAAATATCACTCTGTAAATATTTGGAGCCAAAATTTTTATACAAAATTATTTCATAAATATATTCTTGGACCAAGTTGATGGTGGAGCGGCGAGGGTTTTCGTGGGGCTGCCTGCGTTTCACGCTGGCTCGGAACACTAGCCGACTATGGTAACACTGACTTGTGAAGTAAACAATAGAAATGGCGGAGTGTTTCGGGTTGCGCTGTGTTCATTTTGATCAGTCCCGGCGTGCGCAGAGTCGTTGTCTGATCGTAGAGGCAAACATTAGGTACTATTGTGACTACTGCTGATGTGACATGGCAGCATTATTCAATGTAATTGACGAAACGTGGCACATATAATTTACTATATGTAAAAAGTTATAGAATTAATTTAATAAAATTATAATTAAAACTTCTTTTGTATTATTTCAACGGCATTCCCCTGGTAACATGTAATAGGATTTCGTTCCTAAAATTAAAGCAATTTTGATGGATACAAGACTGTTGTCTTAAACAAAAACATTACTGGCGTGAACGACTAACGCCAATACACTATGTACCAAAATCAAATGGGATACGATTATTTGTATTGTTATACAAATTATAATTTAAAGTAACGATATTAGTTATGTCGTAAAGATTTTTTGTTAAATGGCCCCGGGAATTTGGCCTTGCAATACCGTTTAAACCAAGGCTGGGACTTACCACCGATCGGCACCGCAAATAATGGAATAAAAAGTTCCATACCCTGCAGGACCACTTCGGCGACAGAGTCAGCGACGGTATCTGTTGTACACGATGAAAAGGAAATGGCCAGCCTAGGGTAGAACGCAAAAAAGACCTATCCCATCCCAATCTGCTGACTTGTATTGCCACACGCGGCATGTGTTTCTTGCGATGAGTCGGTGAGATTCAGAGACAAGGACAAGTTTAACGCGAAGTAACGAGCAAAACAATTGAAAACTCTATGTTATTACACTGCAGCCCGACACAAAAATTCTAAGACTTCATCTGTCAAATGTTTGTAGGATTTTGTTGACAGTTAGCACTTAAGATGAAATAAAACTAAAAATAAATAATTTCAACTTTTTATTGTTGCTTACTTATTGGACATCGACCTGCGAGTGTCCCGAAAACTTAGCGTTAAAATTAATATCGCAGCATAATGGAAACATACTAGAACGAGGAAAACAGGTTAACAATAGCTTAAATGATTGTTATAATGGCACCGGATAGTGACTTAATTAGCTTAATTATTTCTTAGCTGTTAAGAGTCTTGCCCGCTGTTACAGCTTTGTTTCTTCACCACATAGCATGACACATATCATGCATATTATTTAATAAATTGGCCATAAACAACGCCAAACCTTTGACAATTTCTATAGTTTACACGTGGTATACGCGTACACTCGTACGTACTTTATCTAAGAAGGAATACTTTTTTTATTATATTTTTAATAACCTTTCGTTAACAGCGGGCATACACTCATTGTTCAGACTAAATTCATTTTGTCCTGTACATGTACCTAAGTTTTATTTAATTCTTTACAATTTCCTTTTTGTTAGTTATTCTTAGCTAAATAAAACTTTTTCTCATCGAATAATAGTCTGAACATCATAAAACCTTATGCACTAAATAACCGTGTACTGTTACCTTAACCGTATCTATCGTGAGTTATAAATATTAAAACGGAATACAGAGTGTATATATTGTAACTTATAAAGAATAAAAACAAATTTAACAGGGCGAAAATAATTCACAGTACGGGAAATCGATGTTTTGGGGAACGTACTGACCAGTCGTCGACTAGCGATCTCAACTTCAATATGGTACCCAAATACGATGGTGCTTTCAATGATGCCGAGCTGGTGAAGCTGGGATTGCTTGGTAAACGCAATATTTGAAATTGGGATCGCTATGGCTATTACAGATAATGCGTTAAATGTCTTCGCGTGGAGGGTATACATAAATGTTTTATTACATATACCAAAAAGCTAATAAATGAAACGCTTTATAAGTGTATTTTTTAAGGTTTACGCGCATTATTATCTACTTAACGAATTATCATATTCTGAGCTTATATTTTACACTACATGAGGATAGAAATCATGTCAAACATATACAACAACATAAACATTATGAGGACGTAACATTAAAAGTAAAATTTAGTACCTATAACATACATAGATTATATACAAATAAAAAGGGGTAAACGATATAAAGCTTCTTATAGAATAGATAGATAATGCTCTAATGAGAGACAGAGAAAGCATATTTTTGAATGTCCACTTACTGTCACATGTTTTGACTATTTACAGTCTGTTACATCAATTAAATACTGTAAACTGTATTGCACATTTTCAGTTATAAAGAGTGGACAAAGGGCCCTCATAGCCTAGCGGTCTTATTAAGTGGCAGCTAGGTGAGGGGCCTGTGTAATCCTAATGCTACCTTGGACTTTAATTTCGTCAGAGACCGTTTTTGATTGAAATATGTGTAATCTAAGAATGAAAACTTGACTTTTGTTTACGTGCTTACACGAATTGTACGTCGTTGCCTTAAGAAGCTGCGCATTTTGACGTGTTCTTATGAATGTTTAATTAGAATTGTTAAGACTAATACTAAACAGAATTAAAAATAACAATTTGTGTAAGTTGTCACTATTAATCTGAAATGATTTTTAAAATCTTATCACTGATTAGCTAGTTTGACGTTACATTGACAATATACTTTGCTTATTGCCAAAATCATTCTTTTATTTTAAGGGATAGACAAATTGTGGATGTCAGCGTGTACCACAAAACTTATTTAGAAACTTTACGATTATTAAATTACTTTATTCTTCTCAAAACTGAAAATTTTTAACAAGTTCTAATGAACGGTAACTTGATTTTGATTTTTTTAGAATAATTAAAGGTAAGTATATCAATTTGTGTTACTTTTAGTTAATTGTCACAAATAATTATTATTTAATTGCGATATACGTTTCGACTACTATTGTACCTACTCATATTTTGGAAAACGCATGTGTTTTAAAACTCCATTGTTTAGACTTGTTTGTGAACCAATATAAATGTCGGGAAATAACTAAAAATGTAGAAAACAAAGATTATAAATTTAAGGACTGCACATACATTTAAATCTGTCAGCTGTCAAATAGACAACTGACAGGAATCTTAACAACGCTTACCGTCAAAACATCGAATCAATTTGTAAACACTTCACATGTATCACAAACATCCACATTTATGAAATAAATTGTCAACACACAAATATTGAAATAAAACAGCATTTATAAATACTAAAAAACTTGGATTTTTTTCAGAGTATTAAACAGATTTTAAAAAAACGATCCCGCTAATTGTAAAATAGTTTTGGATACTATATCAGGATATACTATAGCGTGTTTTGCTAAAACACAAAAATTCCGTGAACTTTACACAATTACACCGCTACAACGCGTACAATCACCGCTAAAAAGTCCGTAAACTTAGTTGCGAATTGCTGTTTTATTTCAATTCTCGATATATTAGAATTTGGTCACGAGTTACTTATCGCAGTCCGGCACTAGTTGGACACTATCATCTGATCGTTTGGTGTGCGGTCTCCGAATAGGGCGTGGTTGGAGAATCGAAAATCTATCTTGCTGATTCTGCTTTTTATTTAATGCTGTACGCAGGTGGGTTTCACCTGTAAATTTAAGAAATATTTTGTTATAATCTTTTTTGATTACTTACGCCCTTATACATATTGCGCACATCTATTTTTGTATTTTATGTCAATCAATAGCTATGATCAAAAGTTATATTTAAAATTTTAATAAATCTAAGCAAACTACTACTACCGATAGCCGAGAAAGACACTATAAATGTTCGTAACATACCTGGTAACGACAGTGGTCTTCCACAAAGCGTTATATCATGAGCTCGCGGTGATACGGATCTTGAAGATCGAGGTCTACTGGTATTATTGTTTTTCGTCTCATCACACCGGGTGCCACGACGTGGAGACCTGGATCCGAGAAGCTCCTGGAATTATTACGTCTTGGTTTTAAGACAATACCTTACAGTAACCTGATTGTGGTCCGACTAATAAATAAGAAATAATTTCGTTAGTTTCTTAAACACCTGATGATACGAAAGTTCTTGTAATCTTAGAAATTCGTGTAAAAAGGTATTTACTGACTTCCTTTACGAAAAAATAAAAAAAGCTAAGAAATTACCACAACAGTAGTGGTCTCAGACTCTAGGCCGAACTTACGTTAAAGATCAGGTTGTACTATAAAGAGAAATTAACCCGTGCGTGTAGAGTGCAAACTATTTATGGCCTTAAGCCTACTACCAATCTCATTAAGACATTCCATAAATACCAAACATTTTGATAGTAAAATCACAATAATTACGTAAAATACAGTCCCAACATTCCTAATAGACTGGAGTGACTGGATAGCAAGAAAAACGTCAATAGTAGTTAGAGAAAGAATACTTAGAAAAGAAAGTGTTGATAAAATTCAATGTCATATGTTAGTTTAGGATCAATTTTATTAAGACGTGAAACTTGATTTGAATTCTTATAATCCATCTTTTAATCCCCATATTTTAATACTAACTAAATATAATATCCTATAAACACTCTTACCAAAACATAAATTAAATTAAATAGTCTAACAAATCTTCTACCTCACCTTTTTCATACATACCTTGTTCATTATAATAACAGTGTTGTGTTAAGTTATGTAACTAATAAAAAAAAGGGTTATTCTATTTTGTTATTTCTATATGTGAATAAGAAGAATACAGAACAAACAGTGTTCAAGGAATTAAAGAAAATGGAGGTGCAAACACATACATAATAGTAGTATATTAGTAACCTTTTCTTGAGAATTGACTGAATAAGCACTATATGAGACTGGACTGTCCGCTCCGAAATCAAACGCACTGGACGCTCGGTTAGACAGATTATCTTGATCCAAGCAGCAAGCAGAAAAATGTTAATATTTTATTAGTTAAGCTTAAAATATTAGTATTTTATAGGCATAAATTATTACTAGTTTTTAAATAGAAAATACACTTTAGGAACAAGTTTGTTCCTTGATAATTGCTATGTTTCAGTGGTAACATGGTACCTCTAAAAATAAGCTTAGATAAAAATATGTGACCATATGTTAGTAGCTAAGAAAGTATACACATTATATATTTGTATGAATTAATAAGCCAAAAAAATAATGCCATACCTTGTGGCCAACAACTGGTAGGAGGTGGTGATCTTATCATATGTTCATGAACCTCTTTCAATGTCAGAGGATCATCTTCTACAAAATCAAGAGGTGCACTACCAAATTCCTGAAATTATGTTTACTCATAGGTTAATTAAAAAATTTCAGCTTTTTTTATTATACTTAAAATGGAAAGCCCTAAAATTTCAAATTTTGAAAAACGTACAGAAAGTGTTACTGTAAAATATTACATTAAATGTAAAGTAAGAAGCTTGCACATCAGCACATCTTCTACGTCATATGACATGATGTTACAGAGTACTATAAAATTCTCACCTGTGACATTAAAATAGTATCATCTGATTCACATTCATCATGATGACTTTCTATTAGACTCTCTCTGCTTGCCATAACCTGCTGTAACGCAATAGATTAGTTATTCATAACATTCACTGTTTCTGTAATACATTACATAAAACGTAAACGTTTACGCACCTGTAAATACGGGTTATCTTGCCTTGATAACCTTAGAGCTTCCATATCTTGAGCGATATTTCTCGTTCTTCCTGGTGTTAGCAGTACTGCTGGAGACCCGCTTATTGTGGGGCCTAGGACTATGTACAAAATATGTTATTAAATTTGATGACAATACGAACTAAGGCAATTTTGTAAGTAGTGTAAGGCTTTTTGATTATGTGCACTTACCAGAAAGTGAATCGTTTCTACTTTGCATTTTAATGTTTATTATTTATTTTATTTATGGATAATAATCCCGACGTAGAACAAAAAATTAATTGGAATAGCACAGCTATTGTTTAAACATGACTCAATATTTTTTTATTACGCAAATCTGTTCTATCTTTAATCTTCTTATAAGACTGTTTCTGGAAGATACATTAAATTAATAATATTTTATTTTTTAAAACTGAATAACTACGAGCAGTGAGCACAAGAATATAAGGTAGATACTAGTAACTAGAAGTTTGAAGTGTCGCGTGTGACGTTTATAGATTAAGGTGTCAGCCATACTGACAATTAACTTAAAAACTATATAGTTTTTTTTTTTTTTGGGAGTTTATGGCCTGGTATTTAGAGCTTTACGCCAAACGTTATATAAAACATATTCACAGATTCGTTACTAATTATTATTTGACTTATGACTGTACCGCATTTATTATTTAGAAATGTATAAATATAATTAAAAAATAGTTTGCTTATATTATACTTTCCCTATTTTACGTAACAGACTAGCAAATTCCTATAAAATATATCCCAGTGCATCTCGTTACCCACAAGGCGTGTAGCCTCAAACTATACTGGTAACCCATTCATATACCGGTCGTTGGTTCGAAGTAAAATAGTGGTTACCGTTTGGAAGCTGATAACAGACTAGTCTTAAGTCACTTTATAGTTAATGTTTTTTCCAGACTTTGTTTTTACACCGGAAATCTACACATTCTGATATCTTCAAGGAAAATAAACATTATACTGTTGTTGAAACATAAACATTACACTGATGTTTAAAGACAGCTATTATCAAACTGTTATTTAGGATGTTTCAAGAAATTAGAATAAGACAAATCCTTATTTTGCGTCAGGAAATCAAATAAAACACCAAAATAGAATGTAATATATGAATTTATTTCTGAAAGGCACTACCTTATTAAAGGCCGCTTCCCACTGAAATACTAATAATGAAACAACTTTGTAAATAATTCTTTTAGCGTCTACATTCAATTTATCGAATCTATGTACATTATAATTAAATTGTTCTGAGTCAAATTTATAACAATCGCAAAGGAGATCCATTATGAAGTATAAAAATATAATTCGTTAGAATTGAACAAATATTATCATTTCGAAGTGAAGCTTCGCGCGCGTTGTATGCACACGATCATTAGCAATGGATAATCTATATGATTTTAAATTTCGTTGTCTGTGATGACGTATTCGCAGGCGGAGCCGTGGCAAAGGATAGTATTTTGAATGTCCTTCAGCTTGGCAATGAAATGTTTGTGAATTTTAGTGTTAGTTCTGGTGTAGCGGAGGGCTGTTATCATCTTATCCGCAGTGTAATGCAGCCACAATATGTTGGTGTACGGCTCGTAATTCATCCAATCGTTTCTGTAATAAATACGAATTTTCAATTTAACAATTAGATTACTATTTGAGGAGCTTGTGATTGACGAATTACTACCAAAACAAACTTGGCTTGGTGAGGTATTTGTTAGATATTTTTTTTGTCTTATTCTGTAGTTTTTGCTTGGGTAAAGACTTTCTGTGTAAGGGAGCGGTCAATTTACGTCAATTACGTCACGCAATGTTTGGAGATTATTGACCCCGCCGCCCCCCCATGTAACGCACCGTAACGTTTTTCTACAGAACTGTACCCAAGTATAGTAAAACGTTTCGTGACCACGTAAAAGTTACTATTATGTGGTGTAAAGTACTGGAAAGTCGAAAATAATATTAACAATAACGCGTAATTCAATCCCCGCCCCGCATCGTAACGTTTTACAAAAGGACCCCCCTCCCCCAAAATTCGATACGTAATACTTGAACGCTCCCTAAACTTATTTTGAGGGATTTCTGTACTAAACTCCTTTGATCTCTCTTGATGAAATATGTTGACAAGTGCATAAAAAAACTTATATTGAAAACTTTCAATCATACAAGGTCTTTCATTTCCTCTTGTCAAATGATAGATACTGACCCGAGCCGATCTCTCATACGGCGATACACCTCAAACTGGTAGTCTCCAACGGCTTCAAAGAGCGACTCGTCTTCTGCCAAGTTGCAGTACAGCACTCGGCCGACCGACACGCGGGACAACGAGTAGTCGATGATCGTCGCCTTGACCCCGCACGTGCGCACGCGGTGCGTACGACCGCGGAGTACGAACGTTGAATACTGAAATAATATCCAAGTGATAAAAAGTGATTTTTTTTTATCCACTTTATTATATATGTAAAGAAACTTGTATGTTTTAGCCATCGCGGTTGGAAAAAGCAGTTAGTTTGACAGAAGTAAAAGTCATCGGCATTAAATTCAATATTGTTTAATTGTGAGGTTATTGTAAAAAGCTTAAAAAGGGATTGATAATTTTAATAATAGACTTTTAATGTCGTTTCTTTATTTTCAGGTAGGATAGTGTTATTTAAGTTTTAAGATAATATAATTAGTATAGTGTGTAAGTACTAAAATAAATATCTTTATTTTCAGAGCAACACAATTGTTTATTTGAATTTCATCGATTCCATATAAAATAAGATATATAATCTTATATATATTTAATAAATAAAATATTAAATCCAAAAGCATTGTTCAAATGTAATATATTTTCTTTGAAAATTGCTATTTCTGTGGATAAAAGTACTCGAACTTTGAGTTGACAATTATTAAAAAAATACCGTAACATACCTTCTGATCTGTGGGAGCAATAAGCACGTTCCCCCAATGCAAATCCCGATGCTCAAACTGATATGCCTGCTCCGCTACCGCCAAACCAAATGCAACCTGAATAATAAATAGTTATTTTTTTCTTGAATAACTTAAAAAAAAAATATTATAATTTGTTGTTTCAAATGTACAATAATGCATACGACGAATTAAGTATAATTATTCATATGACGCAAACATTATCGAAGATCTTCGTACGGAACTACGAGCTGGAATCATCAATCGCAGTAACCTTTTTAGTTCTTCTTATTTCTTCTTGAACTTTTGAGCTACCGTTAAAGAAAATTTAATATTCAGGCTATGTCCACGTCGAGGCTGTTAATTAATTTTAAACGAAATATAATACAATCCGATATTATCATAGATAATTAACTTTTACAAAAGATAATTTTAGAACTTAGGTGAACGACATTGCGTCTTGGTGTATCGACCTCACTGTTTTCGAGTCGCTAATGAGTCAAACATTAAACAAACATGTTTGTAAGGCTAATAACGTTCTATACAGTATTTTGTTTACTTTAGATTAAAAACAAGAAGATAAAAAAACATTAAATTGAGGGATGTCAATAGGTTTGAGTTATTAATAAGTAAAATAAATGTATATAATAAATAAAAAATATAATAAATGTATTATTGTAACTCTAAGATCTAGACTAAACTAATTTGCGATCGGTGAGAGTCGCTATCGCCAGTCGTATTTAAATGGGTCACGTGACCAAACGTGAACAGTCAACCCCATACATTAGTCTAGTGTGCTTGCTTAAAATAAAATAAAAACATGCAAAAAAATCTTCAACAAAGAAGCGGCGTCTACTTTGAAGGATAAGTGAAAATCTAGTCAAGATACAACAAACTTGAACTAGAAAGTCACCTACCGTCCATTGTAGACATTAGTCGGTACATGCGAAAAAAACGCTGAAAAAAAACACAAACAGAAAAAAAAATCAAAACAATTAGCACGGGTATAGAAGACGGATTTACGGATTAACAGCGTTCATCTCAGTCAGTGTCAATTCGTTAACTATACACTACAGTAATCCCCTATCACGCGGTAGACCCGAACGCGGACCGCGTTATAGAAAATCGCGTTGTAGGAGTATTCGCGTCAACCCGCTTTTTTGAACAATTCAAAAACTAGGAACACGAATTTAATAGTTATTTAGTTTAATTTTATAATAACACAATTGAAAAAGGGTGCAAAGGTACACAAAACTAATTATGGACCTGATAAATAAATCTCCAATCTCTAAAATCTAAAGGAATCTCCGCGATATATGAGGGATGGAAATCGCGTTATACGAGTTCAGCGTTATAGGGGGGGTTTACTGTATCGTCATCGTTAGTAACCGAGTAATGTTTAATCCGGTATATCTTTACATTTCAATGATCTCACAAAAAAATGATAAACAAATTTTAAAACAAAAAATTTTGGTACTCAAAAAAGCATTCAATGTTTTTCCATATCAAATTATATACAGTGGATTTTTTATGAACTACAATCATTTCATATATCCGTTCGTGTATTGTGCATAACGGAGTAGATACATAACAACAGAACCTTTGGTGGTATCTTGAAGAACCATTGCCGCCAGTTTGGCGCTTATCAATTCATTTAAAACATATGCAAAATCTCAAGATTGTTTAATCACGCGTATGTTTTCAGTAGTGTACAGTAGGGAAAAAACTACACATATTATTTATTAAATAAAAACCATTATTACAATTATTCTGTTAGTCAATATAAAATTAAGAGCACTTAAGACTTATTAAGAATTCGGCCAATGGACTTGTATCCAGGAGCTTGAGACAAAATCACTTTTCCACAATCTTGACTCATCACTAAGAATTTCTATGGGAAAGGACGTTAGCTCACGCTTTGTCGAGTTTAGTTTTAGTTTGGTGTTAGTATGTCACGACTGTCGAAAAGTGATTTTGTCTAAACCCCTGGTCATGTAAATTAAAAAACAAATATCAATCTTACAGTCATACATACCTGTTGAAATAGAGCTTCAGCCTGTTCAGCGTTGTTGAACTGGTAACTCTCCAAGTCTTGGCCAGCATTGGCCAGTTCTAGCACAATATAGTGCTGGTCGGGTGGAAATATCGCGGGGTTATCGTTCTCAGATCCTTTGCACTCGTCGTACAAGTCCCATAGATCAAGGAGTCGGCTTGGATAGCTACCGTATACTAGGCGGACCGCTAGGACCTTAAAAAGATTTAATACTCTATGAAACAGCATTAATACTAATAAATATATAAGATGTAGACATTCCCGAACGTATTAGAAATCACGTGATATTCGTAGATTTGAGTAAGTTTAATTTAAAAATATAATAAAAACAAAAAAATTGCTATAACTAGGGTTCTATATTTAAAGTGCAATTAATTGTTGCTAGTCATATAAGTTTTTATAAGAACGACTGTCTAGTACAATGCGACATTATTTTGAATACATATAAAGAAACGAACCGAAAAGAATAACTTTTTTAAATAATATATTAAACAACGACCCATTTATTACTAATATAAATTCATTGTCTGGGCGTTCATTATTTTATTGAGGGTATTCAAAGTTATATTTATCTTGTTTTATTGACATTAGCACACCATCAATAGACGTATGTTATTATACGCATATTTTAGTATATTAAGGTTATTGTATTTCAATTAATTATTAATTACACCATTAAATCTATCAATTTTCATGTTTAGATGGCGTAATAGTTGCAGTATAAACAAATAAATTCATATTCCAATACTATTTCATTTTACTATTCGTTTCCCAATACTATTCTAGACGTATTTGTAGTTAGAAAAACATTTTTTTTTACATTACAACAGCAAGATAAGGTTTCTGGTAAGAGGTACCTTGTGGCACTTAACATTTGACTTTTTATTAGAATTTTTTTTTTGTATTTATTATTTATGGCTTTACTTTGTGAGTGCCTTTGAAATACATATTTAATAACGCTATTTAGCTTAATAATTCCCAAACACAGTTGCGATAACGGTAAACATTCGAATAACATCTGAATCATAATACGCTGAAAAATATCTGTGTTGTACACGTGAATTCCGATAAATACAGTTCGTCATTACTGACTCAGAGGTTATGTAACTTGTGGGAACTTGAATGGTGCCGAGTTACACAATGCGAACATTAAACAAGTGGTATCGAGACTTACGCGGTTGGGTAGGACTTATAACGTTCATATTTTAAGAAATGAAAGTATCAAATCAAATGGATGTTCTATGTGCAGCGATGCATTTTTTTGTCCATGTGGGCAATGATATTTGTTTGAACCAAAAATCGATCGTGTCATCCGCTACATGCGGTTTGCTCAGGAACTGCTCGAGCGGTCCGTGTATTGCGAATATGAATTTAGTATGGAAACTGCAGATCGGCCGCGCCGTGCGGCGACCTCTCTACAGCAGTCGGTCTTGACTGCAACATGCGGTCCGTCTATGGCCCGCTTTAGTCGACGCACTGAATGCCCACCAAACAGATATATACCATTCGATCTAATTTTCTATAATATGTACATTCGTAAACAAATCAGCACAAAGTCCCAGTCAGACACCAATATCTTATCAGCACAAACAAGGCACGTTTATTAACTGTGTATTGATAGCGCTAATCGAGTCTGTCCCATTTCTCTTATCATTCAAGGCATCCATCATAAGACTGAATGGGTTCGTTTAGAGAATATCCTTGGTTGGCGCGACAGAGAATATTATTTAATTTTTTGGCATATAAGTATGCACACGTGAAAGGTCACTCGAGATAATAGTTTAAGTTCTTATGTACTGCGTAAAGAAAACCCATTATGTAACAATGCGCATTTGTATATAATTCAAAACTTTATTTCTAAAGATAAGTTTAACATTATATTTAAGGAATAACTCAACTAGATAAATAATACATTTTTAGTTAGTATTGTTCCAATTAAGTCGCACCTTTTTGGCCAATGTCAAATCTCTGGAAAAATTGTATGTCAGATTTTGAAATTTGATTTATATTTGATTAAATACAGGCCTTAGACGATATGAACAATAGAGAGAAGATAAAATTATTAATAATTATGTATCTCAACGAAAATAATATATAGTTTCAATTAGCTACAGTAAGGCTTCAGAGATTTCAAATTTCGAACGTCTTTGTTTAAATTTCATATAAAATTTCCACGTAATTTATAATAACAATACATTGCACAATGAAGACGTAACATCTTGATTCCAAACGAACACGTCCAATCAATTATTATAGATAGCATAAATGTTCAATAAACACGTTTATTCTTAATGAAAACGTGACTACTGCCGTACTCAAAGTCGTTTAAGTTAACGTTTACTCATTAGGATTTTAATTCACCATAGATAGAAAGCTAAGCCATTCACTTGGCCTTCTTTATTAAATTATGGTATCTCTAACATTACAGAATAACCTATATATCAATCCACTATAAGAGATGTGAATGACTCAAATTTCTCGACTCTGAATCTTAGGGTTAGATCTTGAAAACAATTATATTATTTTACGATTAAAATTTTAGTATTCGAAAAATAATAACAGTAACAACTTTATTCATGACAAATAAGTTGTGACAAAATTCATCTATCGTTAATCCCCACACTAGGGAGGTCCCTGTTGTGTTAGCTTTTTAATTGTATGCCTTTATAATAAGGTTGCACGTGTGTATTATCGGCAGATGTAGTCGGAAAAGTACTTCAAACATTATCAATGCCATTTGTACAAGGTTTCTGCGGATTCTATGCATAAATAATAAGTTACATACATTGGAATTTTTCATTTCCTTGTATTTGTTTGTAATTGCTAAGTACTACAAGGTATTAACCAACAGCGGTTTCTATCTTTTAAAAGTACTTAAATATTAATAAAATGAGGTATTTTTTCACATTGATTCATAAATTTATAATTGGAAATAATATAATCTACGGCTCGTAGAAATTCCGATCGGTATTTTCAACAAACTGATACTAATATACATCAAATAATTCGTACCCTTGACACATATTTAGTTTTGCAATAATAGTTTAAGACTAATAAAAATTGGTGATTCCTTATCTCAATACTTTAAAAATCAGCTTAGAGAATAATTACAAAATTTTACATAGGGCTAATAAAGATTCAATAGCAAGATAACTGATGCACTCTTTTATGACATTCAAAAATATTAACACCACAAATTACCATTTATTATTACAAGGGTCTAGGCTCCGAACATGATATTGTCCCATTTGGTGTCAAAACCCTTGGTCTGTGGGGTCCTAACGCTATAAAGTTTTCAAGGAAATAGCAAAATGTTTGTTGTCATCACAGGAGACTGAAAAGCTGAAAGCTACCTCGGACAAAGATTTAGTCTAGCTATTCAAAGGGAATGCTGCCAGTTGCCTAAAGGGACTCCTTTTAATAATATATTTTAAGGTTAGTTATTGTTTTTTTTTTAATTAAAAGTTTTACTTTACTTAACGCCACTATTTAAATTATCCACTATGGGTATCGTCAATTTTGTTTCTCACAGATTATATTTCTTCAGATGATCATATCAACAAGATACAATTACAGTTTCTCTAGAATCAAATTAAGGACATTTGGTGTCAATCCATTGAATAAACTAAGTTCACCAATCCGTCCTAGAGTTGGCTAATTGGTATTAAGTAGATGATCAAATATGTAGATTAATTTTTTAAGAACATGAACCATGGTATTTTTAAATTAAATACAGAAACCAATACCAGCTTATTTGCAAGTGCATTATCTTCTTAAACCACACTTATTTAGTTTGTGGTGGTCAAAAACACCACAACAAACAATGGAATGCTGGAGAAGAGAGACAATTTTACCAAAAGAATATCTAATGCTATTTACCTTGTTAAAAACATCAGTTGCATTCTCTACAGAATGTAAATCCAGAGTTTCTGCTGTCTTCCCTTCATTAAAATGACGTTCTATATCTGGTATTGGAGCGCTGAGAGCGCTCAATTCCCTGTAATACAATAATATTGTTTAAAGAACATTCAAGTACAGCTATGGGCAGTAATAATAGTTAGGGAAAATAATATATACTTATATGGGACCAACACACAACGGACCTATTGACAGTCTAAGTACGGAAGCTGAGTCCACAAAATAAGGGACCAACAAATTTATTTAACATTTTATTGTGAACCAATTTTACCAATTTTAATCATGCCAACTCTGTGCTAAAGTTAATTTAATTGCAATTTTATAAAGTTTTTTATTACACCTCTTTTACCTGGTTTTGTTTAAGTCAACAGTGATATGACAAAAACTATAACACCTACATTTTATACCAATTTGCTTCAGGTATTTAATTAAACAACCGGTAATTTTGCACAATTCTAGTTTATTATTATAATTTGCAATCTGGCTTTTGGCAAAATTGAGGATGTACTAACTGGGACTTTGGTCTTGAATACAAATATAGAACATCTATTATAAAGTTACATATACCAATAATCTTGACTTGATCCAAGATGACCATAGCAAGAAGCACTAAATAAAATGTATTCTATAATTATAAATTAAGCTCACATAGCAATCACAATTTCAGATATGATTTGGTCGTAGTCCTTCTGCTTCTCGCCATTGACTTGCAGCTCGCCAGCTATTGGTATCACCTTCAGGACCCTTGCACGTCCGTCTCCAGCCCTCCAGAGAAACACCTCCCCATATACACCTTCGCCAATTTTTCGGCAATTCTTCAGGGTTCTGTGGTAATAACAAAGTAGAGAATTGTGTGAAAACATGGAAAAATCTAGTTTTTACATCATATAGCTTGAAATTAGGTTTATAGGTAAACTCCTGGAAAAGAGTGTTTCCTCTAAAGATTTCAAAAACCTATTTATTTAAACTGATAATATTAAAATTCATAGGTTTTTAAATTATATAATAGTACCTACCTACTAAAAGTAAAGATTTCTAGATGTAGTTTATACTGAAAATGATTTTGTAATATTTGTGAGTTGCATATAATAGTATATTATAAAACTTAAATCATATTTGTTGTAATATTTATCTGTTTTCTACATATGTCTTATAATTCTTTTGAATTAGGGTAATTTTAATCATTTAATTTTTTAATTTCGTAATTTATCATTAAAATATTTTGCATTCTTAGTCCATTTATTATAGTATAATTACATTTGGTCTCTAATTTTGAGGTTATAATGATTGTTTTCGTATAAATATTACTTTTCTTTTTCAAATATTAATTTAGTATTTATCTGGTGTACAAATCCATAAACATTTTATAACGTTATTTATACAAAATTCTTGTGTAAAAAGGTGCCACCATTTTGTTATTTACATGACCTACAAAAGCAGTTGTTTGTATGAGCATGTGGTATTTATCCGATGTAGTATAGAAATTAGAAATGAACACGACGGACGACATAATATTACTTACGTATCTGGGTAGCATTCATCAAAGAGCAATGCATCTGCCTGATTGCAGCGACGCAAAACGTAATCACGCGCTGTGCTCGAACGACTCGATGTATCATAAAATTTCTCTAATACCCTGCCGCCGACCTCTGGGTCACCGAGCGATAGTTTTGATAAGTTAACAACCGTATCATCACAATCCTCGGTCAAAAATCCTGAAAACACGAGATATTTCGAGAGATTGCACCGTGATTCATGACAAGGAAGTGAATGACAACTTTCCCCATGAGTAATGATTACGTAGAATTCGAAAACAAGCCCACAAAGATGGCCTAATAAACGGAATATTTCACAACTAACCTGTGTATTGCAGAGAAAGATGCATGCACTTGGCTTTAGACACTTTTTTAGAACAAAGGTGCAGAACCAAGCGATTATCCCGTTAGGGATACTGTACGGTAGTAAGATAGTCCACAATTAAAACTTGCACAAAATTGTTATGTCCTTGTATTTTACAATACAAAGGTAAAGTGTCACTGACAAACGTTATTTTAAAATAATAAAAACAAAAAATTTAAACAAAACAATTCCGTATTCCACCGCGATTTTAATGTACGTTAACGTATGAAATACGTAAAACGTAATGACTAATGAAGAGAAAAACGTTTTATGACTAATACTGAGTGTTGCCAGCAAATTAGTGAATATTCCCAAAAATATGTTTGGAAATAATTATTTTGTTTAAAAAACTAGTTGATAAATATAATGGACTGTATTTTATGAATGTTTCATTAGTAAATACTAAAAATAGAATAGGTATATACTTTAAAAACTACAAACGTTTTTGTAGGTGTTACTACCTTCCTTGTCCTTGAGGAACAACGCAAAAATATACTTTTTCAATTAGTTGATAATATACAAAGAATTAAACATTTGACAAAGGAAATATTAAATAGAGAGGCACAAAAAAATAACAGAGCGTATATTATTTTTGTTTCCTTAAGTATCGAGTTTAGCATTCGCTTTTTTTCTGGCAACTTTAATAGCCAATTGGCTAATTATATATATATATTACGCGCAAAATTTAAACCGTAAAGGTAATAATATAAATGTTTTTTAACAAACTTATATAAAAGTTATAAATAAATTGTCACATAGCACTTACCCTGCAATTCTTCAAATACTGTTGTAGAATTTATGCTAGTTCGGGAAATATTAGTATCCTGAAAAAAATATAATTATAAACTAGCAAGATAACATTAAATTATTTGTTTCAAATATGAAATTATACGAACGTTAGTTAGTGTGACTGTTGATTTGATGGGCCGAGAAACAAAAGTACTTCTGTGACTTTTAATGGATTCATTGTGAAGTGAAGCTGAAAAATTATTAATTATAAAATTATAATCAGGTAAAACTAAAAAATAGGAAGTTAATAAAATGATTCTAGACCTGACATTACACTGCAACTTTGGCTGTTGATGTCAAATTGAGTTGTCAAGAAGACAACTCAATTTTCCTTTTAATAATTACAAGTAGTACATAGGTTTTAATGAAAATAGAAAAAATTAGAACTCACTACTAGAATCCTGCATTTCCATGGTGGCAATAACACTTTGTCTATATTTTCTACCTTTGTGTTCTAATGATTCTACATCAAGTATAGAAACATCAGTGCCATCTGCCATAGTTGTCATTCTACGATAAATGCTTAAAGAACGCTCCCATCGTTTCCCTGGCTGTAATTTAATGGGATTTTTAACTTCACTTATATTTAAATCATCTTTGTCATGTCGTGATAATCTTGCACTGTGTCGAGTTATTCTTGAAGGGTTTGGTTCTGGTTTATTACTTTGTTTTAAACCCACATTCATTGAAGATTGTTGTATACTTTTACTCTGCCTCATTTTTTTAATGATTTTATCTACTGTGTCATCGGCCACGGTAATATCTTGATTACATAGGGTCTTATTAATGTTTGTACATGGTATCACATTAACATTGTTGTCATGCAACCCTATGGTACTATTAGATTGCTTGATGCTGACGCCTATACTTGTTTCTTTAGAACTTGTGAACTGTGATTCTAATTTATTAACAGATCCTAATGATTTTAATAACTTAGGCCTTGTCACACTTGTTTCTTCTTCAATAATATTTTCTTGACTATGTATTGAAAGATCATTTTTAATATTGTCTAAATCCTTATTAATAATGGTACTACGCTTCGGTGTGACAGTATCATTAATGCATGACGTTTCATATTCGTTCTCAAAACTATATGTACCAAATTCAAGTTGGTATGTGTCATTTAAATTATTTTTTTCTATATCAATACATGTAGTTTTTCTTGTATTTTGATCTACTAATGTTTCAATGTCAAGAGAGAATTTATTTTCTTTATTATTTATGATTGTTTTATCACATTCTGCAATACTGCTTGAATTTCTAGGGCTATCTAAATTAAACAAAAATGAATCATTTGTTATAAATGCTTTTCCTCTTCTAGTGGTAACAAAGCTTGGTGGCTCAATATTTTGTTGGTGGGTTGAATCTTCATTACTTTCTTCAGAATCAGAATATTCATCCTCAGTATTTAGATCACTTGGTTCAAAACTTCTAAAGTGTTCAATACAATTGCTTGTATCACTACTCTCTTTGTTTACATTAGATTGCTGCCAGTATTTTTCAAATATTGATTTTCTCATTCTTTTCATTTTTACAAATGGTTCTTCGATCAACATCTTCAAACTGATTTCTTTAGATTCATCTTCACTACATGTATCATATAATGAAATTGATTCTACATTTTTACATTCTTCCGAGTCTTGCTCACTATTTTCTTGGCTTCTTTCAGTATTTAACTGTAAGGACTGGTTAGGCAGCACATTTTCAATTAATATATCAGAATTATTTTCCTGAAAGTGTTTATATTTGTTTAAAAAAACTTCTGTACTTTGATTAACCTTAGAGAATCCAAAAAGCTTCATACATTCAGATGTCTGTAGAATTATACTAGGCTCTTCCGCAAATGTCATGCTAGATTCTAATTCATTATCATCTATGATTTCATCATCAGGAGTATCCTTACTTTGGACTTCTAAGGAAAAATTGTTACATTTTTGGTGATTATGAGCAATGTCATTGTCAATAACTTCTATTATTTGTATGGAGTTGTCATTTACACTTTTATTTATTTCTGATTTATTAATATTTGGTAATGTATAATTTTCTTGTTCATTGTTTCTTGTTCTAATGTAAGTCTTTTTATCATCTTTGCTTTCATTGTCTGATAATTTACTAAGAGTTTCATTCAGTGTGTATGTTGTTGCAACAGTTTTATTAGCATTGACACCCAGAGGAGTGGTACATATAGGGGAATACTTATAAATTGACTGGCCTCTGTATTTTTCCCGAAATGGAGTACTACAGAAGGGGGATCTCTCAAAAGTAGAAATTTTATTTTGAGATATTTTTGGTGTTATAGAATATTGTTTCTTTAAATTATTTATCAAAGAAATATTGTTTGTAATATCATCTATTGAAGTGTCATAATTTGTTGGGCACCTATATTCTTTTTCTAATAATAAACTATGTGCATCTATGTCACTCTCATTTGGTGATTTATTTATAAAATTTTCTTTATCAGAACCTAAAGATATAAAATTATATTAATAAATTTAAATATCTCTAAACATAAAAACAATTGTAAAAATGTACCTGAACTATCTGAACTAGAGTAATTATATTTCCTTATAATAGCTCTGTTTATTGTTTTATATTTTTTCTTACTTCTGAAAATATTACAAAAAAATCTTTTTACAAATTATGATACTATAAAATTTTAAAATATTATTTAAGCTTAATTTAGTAATCAATAAGGCAATATATGATAAAAATTAACATGTGATATTTAAATTCTTTGAACTGTGAAAAATTAAAAACAATATATTTATTTATGTATTCAAATAGATGGGGCCTGCGCAACATGTAAGAAAGAAAATATAGAAGAGAGAAGTGTATAGAAGATTAGAAGTTTTGCATGCATTTTACAAATAATTCTTGAATATACAATATACTTATAATGTTACAATATACTTCAGGTTGTTTTAAGAATGGTGTAAGTAAAATTGAGTTGATTACCCATACTTTGCCTTTTTGCTTAACTTACATTTCCATTCCATTTTCTTGTAATGTAAAAATTGGTGAATTATTAACAGGAGACGAGTTCAACAATTTATCAAACAAATCTTCAGCTTTATTTACCCGTAAAGATTTATCAGGTGTCAAGAAAGTGGTTTTAGATGTAGACGCTAATTCAGCATCAGGTTCTTTTAGTCTCCTCACAAACTTTTTCTTTCGAACTCTGTATGAAACGGATTGTGTCTTTAAACCGCCTAAACAAGAAAGTTCACGTTTGGTACGTTTTATATTTTGACTGTAAAATGCCTCAAATTTCGAGGTCCTTTCATCTACATTTTGCATTACATCTTGGCGGTCCAGCCCGCCTGTTTCTTTTTTAGATCTGTAAGTGCGTCTCATTTTTTATCAAGCATTTAAAATCAATCAAATGTTGCTTCAGTAGGAAACTAAAAATCCTTATTCACTGCTGAAATGTTATTGTTCTGTATTTATGCAAAAAAACAAAATTCAAATTTTAAACCAGTTTCCGTTTGTCGTTTGAAAGACAATTGACTTAAAGGTTGAAATTTGAACCTGGTTTTAAACAGACTAGAAATATACTATGGTGTTTTAATTTTTTTTTATGGCTACCCCTCACCTAGCTGCCACTTAATAAGACCGCTAGGCTATGAGGCCCCTTTAATTTTATTTTCAATTAAGTAAACCTGACTCCAAGTACAGAGTACATGTTACAGTTACATGGTTGTAAAAGAATTGAGTGCGTTTTCCAATTACAGAGCATTTTGCGACTCAGTGCCGCACAATGCCGCATAATGCTGAAGCGCGGGGCCACGTGGCCCCCCCCCCCCTCTCTCCTTTTTTTCCCCCCCCCCCCCCCCCCCCCTTTTTTTTTTTTTTTTGGGGCTTAATTGGAACGTGAATTAGTTTTCAAATGCATCAGCAGAGTGCGCTAAGTCAGTGTTGACTGTTGACAAAAAAATGGTCTGAATAGAGTTAGCAACCTCATTAATGTATAAATAATTTGGTAAACAATAATAATTGGTTGAAAACTTTTTACGCTTAATTTAATAATCAAATTATTTCATTAACATTTTTTTACTGAAATAAGAGAAAACCTTTAAAGAATATAAGGTTTTAACAAGCTAAATTAACAGTAAAATATTTAGTTTCATGTAAGAAGTTGCATGCATGTACATCATTTACGTTTTGAGTAATATTTTTTAATGATTTCTAAAAAAATTATATACTTTTTCAAAACCATTGCAATTTTTTCTAAAGTATAATCCTGTAAAGTAAATTTGTTTACAGATCCGAATTTTAAAATAAAATTATATTCATATTTTAAATGTGGAATATAAAAAAAGTAACTATTTATCATCCATACTAATATTTTTTTTTAGCAGTTTGAAATAACTTTAATTATTTTCAAAATCTACGACGAAACGAAAGCCTTACAAATTTTTCAACAATAAATAATATTTACTAACGAAAATTTCGATAAATGCCAACTTAAAGAAAAATACTGGTCAATTTTCTGTCACTGTGTTGGTATTGTTTGCGAGAAGCTCGCGAGAGCATTCGTTTTGAGAGTGCTCAATTGTGCGAAGCGTTGCTGTAGTTGGAACACTCAACGTTGAGCATTATGCCGCAAAATGCGCTCTAGTGCTGTAATTGGAAAACGCACTGAATATATAAAACTTTAATTACTCTATTTACGAATGCATGAAAAGTTTCCGATGTCGATGCCATGGTATAAAATATAGACTCTTGTAAAAAAAAAGCCAGCATCTAAGGAAATGTATGTTCTAAGGTTGATTTCAGTTAATTAAACGAAATTTAATTGTCTGACGTAGTCTGTATAATCGTGCTAACTAACTATCTAATAATCTTGAAGTGAATTCTGACAATTTTTTAATTAATATAATAATAAAAAATAAGAGAAGGATATCTTATTTTGCAATAGAAAATAGAAATATATTATTAATGTATTTCCTAAACATATGATTTATTGCTAGTACATGACAACATCTCCTTTAGAAAAATTGCCCTTTGCCAATGGACTTTATATCCGGCTAATAAATAAATTAAAAAAAAAAAAAAATTGCCCTTCCTTGTTCCTGCCTATCAGAAGTGTTGCCAACTAGTGGATATTCCACTAGATCTGGTGGTTTAGATATACGTTTTAGCGGGCGAATTTTGGTTTTAGTGGCTAGTGGATTTTTCTAGTGGTTTAGTTTGTTTCATTCAGTGGTATGCTACGACATTTAACCACTAGCACAGTGATATCTTTACAGGAAAAGACGAAAACGTTTACCTTATCAAGGAATATTTTGTCATTATTAGCAACTCTGTAAAATTACGTTCGTTATTTTCGGGAATTTTCGAAAAAGTTTATCAATTTCTTAAATTATTTTGATTATGGGCTTTATTCGTATGACTAATGGGTCAAATTTGATTTGAATTAATGAGATTTGTATGTGTTGGTTTCGTATGCATGACAAAAATAGAAATAACAACACAGATACTTAGTAGTTTTGGTTATGCTATGCATCGGAGCGACCTTGTTTGTTTGCAAATGTTTAGTTTATTTTTAAAACAAAATGCCAAAACCCAATATACGCAAAAGTTCGGATTGTTGGTTACGGATCCCAATTAAAGGACTGGCTGGAAGTGGTGGAAAGTACAGCTGGTGGAATTTTGGTACGAGGTGCTGATTTCGAAGACATTGCAGGAGAAAACCGATTTGAAGATTTAGCCCTTTGCTATATCTTTATTAGTTTTACCGCACTCTAATGTAGAGCGATTATTCAGATTATGAATATCTGAAGACAAAAACAGAAACCGAATGAAGCTAGATCTACTTCATCTTTATGACAATCCGCGCAGGTTTAAAACCGAAGGAAAGTGTTCAATAATTACATCTTGCCAAATTATGTAGTCCAGAAAATAGGAACGAAAGAAATGTACTTAAAATATAAGGTGCAGAGGAACGACTCTGCTGAAGATGATTTTTAACGATTTTTATGTCTTCTATAAGTTTTTTGTAATAAAATAAACGAATTTTATAATTCAATTTAAATATTGTTCTTTTATTGTCAAAAAATATATCCTAGCTGTATGCTATCCATCTAAAGTAAAGAGTGACATAGTCCATAGACTACTGTTTACTTCAGTAAAACATTGTTTCCCGGTAAAAACAAAAAATAGTGCTCGCCGGCTGCTTGCCTAACCCCTCCTACTCGGAATAAAAATAACATCTATATTTCCTTTCGGCGTGAAAAAGGATAAATAAACAAACACACTACATTTATTTTATTATTAGTGTGGATTTTAGTGGTTTTCTGGTGGGTTGCGACGGCAAAATTGGTGGGTTCGTTAAAATTAAGTTGGCAACACTGTATCAGACTCCTAATCGTGCTTTGTTTCATGTTCCTCACATTAAAACTATGCAAAAAAATCAGTTTTGTATCGCGCAGCCCGGACATACAACGACCATTTAAGCCTTGAATTGTTTAAGCTATCGCGGAATATGGTTAAAAGGAGTATTAAGAATAATATAATAAAGAACATCCATAACGCAAAATCACCTGCATCATGAGCATACCCCACATACACACCTTCACGTAGGTATTTACCCTCACTTTTACACCATCACACAACACATCCAAATTAGGTATTACTTAGTTGAATTTATTGAATAATTTTTATTTGTTTGTTTCCTTTTGTACATTTTTGAAAGTTTTTGTAGTAAAATGTATTATGTATTCCATCTCTTGCTATATTTTCAGTGTAAAGTCGGAAACACACTTAAGTGTCGTGGCGTGTCGTGACGCGCCAGAAGCATATTGGTTTCATACATTTAATATGATTAGAAACATATTTGCATGTTGTGTCGTGTCGCAACACGTTCTGTCTAATCATATTAAAATATGCTTCTGGCGCGTCACGACACGCCACAACACGTAAGTGTGTTTCCGACTTTACTGTTTGTTATAATTATATATAATTTATGTTAGCTGTAGGATTACGAAATAAATAATAAATAAACATCCTTCCTCAGTAAGAGTATTCATACTACCTATTTCCTTTATTTTCAAACGTGTAGGGTCGGCTTAATCACGTCCACTTTAACCCCATGAAGACACAAGTTTGTGCTTAATTAGCTCGAAGGCGAGACGGTATAAGTACTCCGGGCCAACGCTTACAATTTTATAAAGCGCAAATTCAGCATCACATCGAGTAGATACTGTTATCACCTTAGAACCAGCTCCATCCACTTGTTCACGATTCAACGAAGAACGATTCGTACCATCGGCGATCAGCCTTGATCTGAGCTTGATCCTTAGCGTTGCGTAGAGATGTGGGGTTTATATGCATCTTTTACCGCATTTACCGTGGAGTGTTTGGATAAATACCTAGAGCTAAGTTTCATCATCTCTCGTCGAGACCGAAGACCAAATTCCACCCGATGACGTCTGTTGTACTACAATTGAGCGTTTTCTTATGGCCTTTTTGCCACGCACAACTACTATGTGGAACCAGCTGAAATGAATGTACCTACCTAGTTTTTTTTATTATGTAGTATTCTTCGGCGTCGGGACATGATGCCCCATTGCCCACTGATGAAAGAACCTGTGACAGAGGTTATTTCACCAGTGCAATCAGTCAACCCCGTTCCTGGTGGGAGTGCCATGCTGTTGCTTTCAGGTTTCAGCTAAATGGGCAGGCACGACCGGGCCAGTACCACTCTCTCACAGAAAATCGGCGTAAAGTGATGCAATAGGTTCATCCTATTGTAGTAGGCATCCTACTCGCGTTTCGTGCGGTGAATGAGACTCCCGGAGCCCAAAGTATGAAGGTGCAGTTCGAACAGAGATTACCCCACACGTATACGGTATATGACCTGACACAGATGGTTCCCGCAATTACGCGAATAGCAAATGTGAATGGTCTTAAAGTTCTTAAAGCCACAGCCAGAACGACGTTCAGTTTCGCGGTCATTTGGAGAGAAATGCTAAATTAGCCTCCAAACACCTTGGTGTGCAATCAAGGCAAGACGGTACTTTCGCCAGCCCACCGCTTGCAATTGTATTCATTGCGCACATTCGGCCCCACATGGAGTACTGTTCTCACCTCTGGTCGCACCACCACTATGTGGAACTAGCTGCCCACTGAAGTATTTTCGAACCAATTCGACTCTTCGACAATTCGAATTTCTAGCAGCGACTTGACCGACAGTCACCAACTGCCCTATGTAGATGCTTTGTTTGTTGTTTCGCTTACGACAAATAAAACCACACACCAATTCTTGTACCTAACATAGTTTATTGAAATACAATTCCTGTAGAAGTTTACACAGTTACAGCAATATATGACAAAGATCATAACACCTTTGGCTTCATAAAAATAAAAAGTGTTTTTTTCATGTATGTATTCTATAATATTCTTTACATTACCATGATAGCTAGCTTATAATTATCATTCACCACCATATAATAACGAGGACACACAGTCATCTGAAATACTAAAAATATTTGGGCGATATTACTTGTAGTTAGTAGCTAATACACTAGACACATATGTATGTGTTTACATATAAAACAGAGGCTTTCGGTTAAAGGTTATGTGTACAAAAAAATCATCACAGCATTTATAAAATAACCTAATTTATTAAAACTAATGGCGCAATAAATGCTTATAAATTAAATAACAATCTAAATAAAAATTTCTTTAAGAGATTATTTACTTAAACAAAGATGAGATATTTAAAACATAGACAAAATTAACGGAATGGCTATAGAGAAAATAGTTAATCCTTATCATAGGAATAAGAAATTAAATATATAAGTACAGGGACTGCCAATACTTTTAGTCACTAACAATACCAGAGCCACAATGTAATAGTTATCTTGAATTTTTAGACATTAGTTTTAGTTTAAAAAAACATCAATAATTATAATACATTATGGTAATAAAAATTGTAGATGTAAGTGCCATTTACAATTTAACAATAGGCAAACTGAATCAGGGAAATTATACAATATAAATAATTTTCTATACAGAAATTATTTTTTTATTAGTTAATATCACTATCAAGGTCAAAAATATGGATTTGTATTGTTTAATATTTAAAGGTTTTTTATTTTATCAGCCATTTTTATCTATCAGGTGTACTCACTTTTCAAACACTTTTTACATAAGTCATGAACCCTATGACAAATCTTATGCCATATTCATTGTGGCTATAGTATTGCAAATTTGCACAGCCACAATATATGGCTCTTTATTAATGATCATGAAGTTTTTACAATATAGGAAACCTCACTATAAGAAATATTGCACTTAATGGATAACATTAGACATATTTCTTAAATGGTAACTTAAATCTAATGGTCATTTTGTGCACTTGTAGGTTAAGCACATAATTTAAGAACAATTTGTATGGGGAATTATAACATTAATATTTCTTCAGAAGTATTTTAACAAAATTGTGTTTCTCTTTCTATTACAAAGATCATGTGTTAGGTCCTACTGAATGCAGTGCAGTGATGAAATAAACATTATTGTAGTTATTTTTAACTAATATATATTTTTTTTTATGCCAAGGTATTCTACATCTTCCGAAGTATTGGAGGAGGTAAATCCCAGACTTATGGACTCATGCATGCATGCATTCGACCCGGTTCAACAAATACATAGGCATAACACTGTATATTTATAAAAAATACATACAAAATAATATTGAATATTAGCTTTTTTATTTATAGGTACATATACAGATTACTTACTGGAGATTGAGTAACAACTTACTGCTAGTCCAGAAAATGGAATGTATAGATTATATGGTTTTCTACCTATTTATCTTTATTTGTAGAAACATGTTTATTAGAAATTTTTGATTAAAAAAAAGTCCACATAGTTTTTTTTTCATATAAGTAATTAAGTTTTACTTCAGTAAAAACTTAAATCTTTCTAATAATTTGAGTATTTCCCCAGTTAGTTAAGGCAACTTAAACCCATAAATCCCATGATTATCACACAATAGCATATCATTTGTGTATATAACATCCAAACCATATGAAAGTATTCAATAATTTTATAAATTTTAGTGTACATAATTACAATAAAGTACTTTATTAATTTTTATGTTTGAAAAATCAAGATACTTTTTCTATTTACAATTTAAGTAACTAAAGTGCTTTTTTATATTTAGGTTTATTTCATCACTGTAATTTTTTTAATATCACATCAAAATGGGTAGTAAATATATAATAGACAGCTCAAATTCTAAGCTCTGAGAATTATTGATGCACACTCACACTGTAGAGGAATGGAAGAGTTTAAAGAAAACTTCAAGAATTAATAACTCTATAAAACAATAATAATGGCTTGCCTTATTATAATAAAAAAATATACCTTTTTTGGTTTATCTATTATGTACATCATTTCAGCGCTTAAGATCTGTGCTGTCAGGTTTATCACATTTATGAGAACACATCAATAGGTTGTGGTGACACAGCAGCTAATGCATTTGGGCTAGCAAGTGGATCAAGAGATTCATTCTCTTTAGCCTTCATTGTCGCCTGCTTCACAGCCTCTTTGTATGGACCCCTTTTCTTTTTATTGAAGCAGATCTGAAATATTTAAAATTCAGACAATAGAAGTCGAATATAATTATCTTCCCTTATAACATTGTGATATGCAAGTTGAATAAGACAACAAAAATTATGCTAAACTAGAATAAATAAATAATTGTACATTTTCAGCCTAATAGTCGTTATGTAATATAGTAGTATGCTCTTATAATCTTTAGTTGTTGCATGGATACATACATTCATTTGTCTACTATTGGCCCATTACCATCACCTTTTTGTTCTCTAATATAATAGAGTTCATTAATGAAGAGAACAGTCGTACAGCAGGTAATCTTTTGGTACATCTTACTCACAGATTGGCTAAGTAGATAGAGTCCAAAACTGTCCAGAAGAGCCTTCTGATGGGTGACTTGAATATAAACGTTGGATCAACAAGAAAGGATGAATATCTACGTCACGTTGTTGGAAGCTATGGATTAGGAGAAAGAAATGAGAGGTGAGACGTGGCTACAATTTTGCGCTTAAATCTCCCTGACTATCATGTGACTATCATAGTGAAAATCATTACTCATGAAATTTAGACCAAAACCTGGGTAATTAGGGATGATCTTCTAACCGAGATTGACCAGGTAACTGATAGGTGGCGATTGTACTGCCAAAACTTTTACTAGGACATCTTACGAGTTACTAACGCCGCGTAAAAACCTGAGCGTGAAATATTGGAATCTGAGATTAGGGAAGTTCGGAGGAACATTAGGACCCGGAAGAGACAATATATTCGCTGATGAGTTCAAAAACCTTGAAGAAAAAGGTATCAAAATCATGAAAGACTTATGAACCCAGATCTGGGAATCGGGTAAGTGACCGAATGACTGGGCAGAATCTATGCTTATACCGCTACACGAGTAAGACTCGACAAAGAAGTGCGAAAATTATCTCACAGTAGCTCTTATATCGCACGGTAGTAAAGTTATGCTCCACGTAGTTCTCGGACGCTTACAATCATATCTGCATCGACAAATACCTAACGAACAGGCCGGTTTTGTCAAAAGACAAAAGCCATGGATCGGGCTGGACATCCTCACACGTTCTGGAGAATTGGCGGACTTTGAATTTGTGGATGAATTTGTAAGGATTATTCCAGGTAATTCCCAACCGTTACGACTTAGGGGCTTTCAAGAGAAGAGCGTACCTTAAAGTTGGGCAACGCACTTGCAATCCATGGGCGACGGTAAGCACTTAACTTTAAGTGACCCACCTACTTATTTGCCTCCTGTCCTATAAAAAACCCCTGTTTTGTATGAATAATTAACTTTGAAACAAGTTTCAGAAACAGCATCAGAATTATACAGGTTGTGATTTATTTAGATACTGAAGCTAATATTTTAATATGAAAGTTGGTTTTCCTCTTCTAATAAAAATTATTTGAAAATTAATTCCTTTGTATTCTAGGGACAAACTTACTCTATGTTGGTGTTGAAATTAATTAGCATGCCATAAGTATATGCTATAGAATATGTTTTTAAAAATATAATTTTATATCAATCTCTCTAATCTGCTAGACTTAGAGGCTATATAGAGTATACACCACCAACAAGTAGTGAGCCCAAACTTAGTAGTTCTAAAAATTGGCTCAACATACTACTAACTATAAATAATATCACAGTTCATAATAAACATACCTTATAATCTTCTAAAAATGGGCACAAGCTATCACAGGGCATGAGCGATGATGCAGTTGAAGCAAACCATGCAACATGAGCCCTAGAAGTAGATGCAAGGCTGAGGACCCTGCCAGGCCACCAGGGGAATCCAATCACCTTTCCCCACACAATATCACCAGGTGAAACCCTCACCAACCTTCCTCCAATACTTTCCGATTTAGCAGGAAAGTCTGGAACTGTTTCACTTTCACAATCATCTGATTCATCATCCTTACATTCATATGAATTGCTACTTAATCTTCGCAAATTCATAGAAACTTTTTGATTTAAACAACTGTCTTTAATATCACTAAAGTAATCATTGTCACTTTTTGATGAGTTTTCATCTTTTTGACGTGTTACACGATTCTTCTTTTTATGTTTTACTTTATGCCTATGTTTCTTTTCTAAAGGGTCTGAAGGTGAGACTTGTGATAGATTATTTCTTGGAGATAATGCACCAATATATTTTGGTGAGGAATCATTTAAAGTGTCTGTCTTAGTTGCACTTTTTTTAGCCTGCTTCTTGGCTTTTTTTAGTGCTTTTTTAACAGACTTTATATCTGGTTTAGAAGTCCTTGCCATATCACATGACACACCAGAATCTTCATTAAAATCACTGTTGAGGGGTGGTATTTTTACAACAGTGCCTTCGCCTTCACCAAAACATATTTTAAGAGTTCTTGCATTAGAAAATAGGTTGCTAAATGATGAGTCACCATTCTTAGTGTCCAATGTATTGTCATTGTTATCAGAAACGCTTACAAATGCAACTTCTTGTGTTTGCTCACTATCCACACATAACTCAGTTTCTGCAATTCTAATTTTATTACTGGTCCTGGTAGACTTCATAGCATTTGAGATTTCACTTGGTTGCAATCTAGACAGTTTTGGAATTAACATACTCTTCATATTGGCGTATTTTTTATCTAATTTCGATGAATCAGAGGGTTGTTTAGGCGTATCGTCGTCAGAATCTAACTTACGTTTTTTCGACACGTCTACATTTTCATTGTTCTCATTGCAAATACCCTGGCAATTTGAACACAGGACTTTTCGAGGTCGTAATCGCACCGTCATTTTTTGACGTGGTTGAGGCTTGCTTTTACTAGCCTGCTTTTTAATTTTGTGCTCTTCATCCACGAACTGAGGTTCTTGGTAAGTAAATCTTTGACTAACTGAATGTAGCTTTTCATCGCAACCAGCATCTTTATTACCTAGTTTTGTAAAAGCTGGATTGAGACTATAAACACCAAATGGTAAACTGCTGCAAAGCGAAAGTAAACATTTAAAAAATATTATACATGAGGAATTGATTCGCAATCAATAAATTTAAGTCTATAAAACATGCACGTACCCCTTATTGGAATCTAAAAGTACACCCTGAAACTTTTTATTTTCACTAGAATATGAGACCACTAATAAATCCTCTAAAGCTTCTTCAACATTCACTAAGATTTGGGAATTCTTTTGAATCATCATAATATCGGCTGTTGCTAGAACAGCCACCATATTAATTGTTTTCTGTCAGTTTTAAATTTTGACAATTTGCATTCATTGTCTGTATTCACTATGTCGATTATTATTGTCGATAAGATTCATCGATGATTCGGCAACCGCACGACACCTATGATAGTAGATACAAAAATCTACTAAACAGTGAGTTGATAGTTCCTCTCTTAAGATGATAAAACCATAAATTACTTTAAGAAATAAAACCAACGGCAAAATGAAATAAAATAATAATATTTCTTAGTTTAGTAAGCCCTGTAATTGAAAGAGAAATATGCTTATCATGAATTTTTAAACACCGTCTGCAGTAGATAGTAGTGATCCAGTGATTATCCGGGGCGGTGATCACCATTGACCGAAGTCTGCGTGCCGTAAAAGAATCACCTCACGGCGTGCAACGCCACGTGAGTTCTGCGGATGGAGTGTATTGACGAGTTCGTTGCACGGCTTGCGATGCTTGATCGAGTGGACACCTCTCGACCTCGGAACCTGGCCTGGCTAGACCGCGAGCCGTGAGTCTGCCCGATATCAGTGACCAAGACACCAGGCCAAAGTCGAGATCACTCCTTGGCCCCCCATCACAATTCACAGGACATGACACTTCAGACAAGACCCTAGGATCGGGTCAAGCGTCGCTCCTCGGTTCAACGTATAACACGACTATGATGTCGACTGCGCGCTTCAGACTGCAAAGGCTGTTAGCTCACACTCATACCACCCTAACAGCAGGGTGCGAACTATTACACCACCCGAAGGGGGCACAGGCCCGTACGGGGTTACGTACGTACGTTATTATTTGCCACAGGATAGCAGTGATATCAAGTTAAATAAAGAACCTCTAAGTTCTAAATTGTAACAAATTACTCTGTGGTGTAGTAACACTTTTTTTAACTTTTTTTTTGGAGTTTATGGCCTGGTAATGGTATCTGGACCTTTAGGCCATTTTTTTTAACTCCCCGCCGCCAGTGGTGCCAACTTGGGGGTTTCCCCTCTAATTTAAGGTAATCTACATGTACACTGCCCATGGTGTACATTATTTAGAGGTACTTAATAACCTACAATTTTATACAATATATATAGCCTAGAACCCAATCAACAAACTTAACCAAATAAAAACTCTTAAGCGTGGCTATAACTGAAATATAAATAATATCCAAGATAACGAAATAACAGCTCTTATACTACTTGAGTGTTGATTTAAAATTACATCTGATTTCTGGAAGTTGGAACTTGGAACAGTTTGTAGAAGTTGGCATTTGGCATCACTGCCCGCCGGGCACCGGTGTATAGTGGATAACCTTGGATAGAATTGTATAGTTGTATTATAATTATTACTCAAAATCAAATCAGAATTCTAGAAGTATTTCGATTTTATCTAAACCACCAGTTATTAAACTAGGGTAAGCTTACATATTTCAATTATAAATAATTATTATAGCAAAGTTCAATACTGCGAGTTGCGACATAAACAGGCTTATATAATTTTCGCAATTAGTTGTCGCAAAGTTGTGTTAAATCTTTCTCTAACACCTTTCACCAATTGTTTAAACTGTAAATAAAGCCTAAAGGTTATCTATACAAATAGCAAATTCAATTTTGGATTATTTACTTGTTAAGAAAACTGTATTTTAAGGATATATTAAAACAGCTAATATATAAAATTTTAATTAAAAAATGACGGAAACTATAATAAAGAAAAGTTAACTGTACAAATCTTCTTTTTAATGTGTTATCATTAAAAGCAAAATTTATACATTACAAATGTCTTGTTTAACTTTGAAAAGGTTGAACTGATTACACTCTATTTTAAAACTAGTGTTGCACAATGCTAGTATTAATACTTATAACTTATTTTATAACAAAATCATATGCACAAAGCTTTAATGTTTTAAATTGTGAGCAATTAAAGCATATCATATTTTTCATTTATCATAATATCATGTAAATTAAACAATGCAAAAAAATATTCATCACTCTGAAATATTGAATAAATTTATAATGGGTTTAAAAAGTCTTCCTTTTTTAGATAATGTCCTCAGAAAACAGAATAGATATCACTCAGCCCTTGTGGGATCAAACAACTTTTGTGGGTAGATTTCGCCACTTCGCCTTTATCTCTAACCCCCTGCTTTCATTGGTACCAGAAAAAGAGTTGTATCAGGCTAAAGAACTCTATTTTAAATATAAGTAAGTTATTTTATTTGACAAATATTTGTTATTTTCCCGCTAACTCAGTATGCATGTATTACAAGTAATGTTTTTATTAAAATAAGAATATTGAAAGTCATATCCAAAGTCAGTGAGTAAGGAGAGTCTAATAATAAAATTCTAACAACTAAAGTTGGTTAAAAAGATGTTAAGTATTTAAAGAATGTAGAATTTGTATTTAAAATAATACTCAACAACTTTGGATCTTTGTCAAAGACCATCTTTAGGCCACAGAAATAAATACACCTACATTCTGTTTAATACATGCAATTTTCTATGCCTGTATTAAAATTACAGTAATTTTAATAAGGATGACATTATTAAAAGTTTTATCATGGCCATAAACTTGACATTCAATTTATTATATTTATACAATGTGTAATATGATGTATAAGAGATATTACTATGTTTTGTTTCAAGTTACGTGATAAAATCTAGATGTTTTCCATCTACACTTATGTACATTGTGTAAATACCTTTGTTGCCTTTTCAAATGCTATGATTGAAACAAACAAAAACAACTTGTAAACTTAAGTAAAAAGCAATTATTGATATTGTGAAAAACTAATTAGATATTTTTATTTTCACATAGTTATATTTTATAAAATTGACTAAATATTATAATAGATACTCTAACAACCAATCTATATGCTTCCTTGTTTTACGCAAGTACTTTGAATTTTTTTTTAAACATATTAACTCATTTAAAATGGTTGACGGCAATCATAGTCAGCAACAGTTGACATGAGACTAAGGTGGGAAAAAGTAGTTTTTAGGTATTAGCTATTATGTGTGTATTAGCTGTAATAACAGCTAACCCTACCAAACCACCATTTAGCCAAGGAACTGACAACTTAATATTCATATTTCTTTTTTCAGAGAAGGAAAGGAGCCATCCGAAACAAAACTAGAGCAAGTAGTAAGAGCTAAGCAGTTATATGAGTCAGCATTCCACCCTGATAGTGGAGAACTTCAGAATGTATTCGGTAGAATGTCATTCCAAATGCCGGGGGGATGTCTTGTTACAGGAGCAATGTTGCAGTGGTATAGGTATGTTTATATTTCCTAAGCTTTTGTATTTTTTTGAAGTTATACTTCTTTAGGCGCGTTATGAAAAATTGATGAGAGTGAAATTTTACGATGCGCGCGCACCGTGACACAAAATTAACAGAATGAAGTTGCACAAGAATGAAGAACATAATTTAAAAACAACATTCGAATTATAATATAATTTATTTTACACTTAATGTAAGGGGGCCTCAAAAAATTGCGGGGGGTTTTTTTTTTTTCTCCCCCCCCCCCCCCCCCGGGGGGGGGTGGGGGGTTTTTTCCCCCCCCCCCCCCCCCCCCCCCCCCCCCCGGGGTTTTTTTTTTTGGGGGGTTTTTTTTCTTTTTTGGGGTGGTTTTTTTTTTGGGAAAAAAAAAAAACTTTCTTGTTTTTTTTTTTTTTTTCAAAAAAAATAGGGGGGGGGGGGGGGGGGGGGGGGGGGGGGGGGGGGGGGGGGGGGGGTGGGGTTTTTTTTTTCCCCCGTTTTTTTTTTTTTTTTTTTTTTTTTTTTTGGGGGGGGGGGGGGGGGGCCCCCCCCCCCCCCCCCCCCCCCGGTTTGTTGGGGTTCCCCCCCCCCCCCCCCCCCCCCCCCCCCCTTTTTTTTTTCCCCCCCCTTAAGAGAATAATAATAAATATTTATTTATTTAATTTTTCAAATGTAAACTGAACTTTATTGACTATAATGACTCCTTTTCCAGTCTTTGATTATTTAATTGTAATTAATTATTTGCATGCAATCAAAAACTATTTTTAATAATGCCAAAGAAGTATTACTTCTTACACGCGTACATAAGTACACGCACCCTTTTTTTTAAATAATAAACTAGTTTAATATCTAGTTCCCATCCAATCCTCTAGAAATGTATGATTGAAGTATGTATACAATTTTCTTTGAATATTAGTTTTCTTCTTTTCATTAGACAAATTTCTGCATCTATTCTATAAGATGATTAAACATTCTGTCTCTACCGAGGTAAAATTGTACCGGTTTCAGCTTATTTTATTATTAAATTTATAGCTTAATAAAAATAATTTATTAATCCCACCTACCAGTTCAATGCACAAATATATGTGTGCTTTACTTAAAAGCAGATTAGGTATCCAATTAGAAATAAAAAATACCATTCATCTCAACAACGACACAACACCATTTTGGATGTTAATGCTAATTAATATAAATAAAACTGCATAGACTGAACAATTTTCAGGACTGCAACGGCAGTGGTATTTTGGCAGTGGGTTAACCAGTCGTTTAATGCGTTAGTTAATTATACGAACCGAAACGCCAATTCGCCCCTAACTACGAAGCAAATGGGAGCCGCGTATGTGTCCGCGACGTCTGCTGCAATGGCCACGGCTCTTACTTTCAAATTTGTTATACAGAAACAAGCCAAGAATCCCATTTTAGCGGTGAGTATAGTAATATATATATATATATAGAATGGTTTCTTTGAGGCTCCTCCCCTAACCACTATCGTATCGACATAAACTTCTGCCATTCGATGCGAAATCTTTCTCTTTATTTATTTTTAAATTCCAACTTCATTCTTTTTTTTATTGCTGTTTTACTTTTTTGAAAATTTATACATACGGACTTCACCCTGAAACATTCGGGAGGCTTCCTTCCTTCCTGAACCTCAAAACTTCACCTCTGTTAAACCTGTTCTGTTAAAACTCGATTTTCGAAAATTTTCAATTTACTTAGCGGGAAGTTAAAAAGAAGAATAATAAAAATATGAAAAAATAATATAATTAAACATAAAATTTTATTTATTTCCTATTTTAATTCGCCCAGCAAAGCGGGCGGGAAACGGCTAGTATTGAATAAAAGAAAACTATGTATTTAAAATCACAACAAATATTGTAACTGAACAATGTCATACAATATTTATCCCGTAACGGTGACGTTCAGGGGTGACGAAATTAAGAAAGACGTATCAAAGCTCGCCAACGGAGGCATCTTCACCACGGGAATAGGCTGGATGGGCAGCCTAGACCGGGGGCAAGTGTGGGACAAAAACCTTTTGAGCTAGTGTATATTATGTGAAAAGTATAAAGCTTTAAGTACTAGTGAAAACTGAACATAAATGCAATTTTTGAAGTTATACTTCTTTTGGGCGAGGGAAAAGTGATGTGAGTAAATTTTTACGATGCGCGCACCGCGCAACACCGTCACAATAAACCGCACACCCTGAATATCCGTTCAAAAAAACCGTTGTTAAAACGTTCAGTCTGGGCCGTTAGTTGGTCGTTGTTTTATCGACAAGTTGCATTATCTGTCATGGCGTAGTGTTTTTCAGAGTCGTGTTTGCTTAAACCAAAAATAATGATTTCTATACGAGAAAACCCATTCCAATGTGATAAAAAACAGTGTGTATTGTACATGATTAGTACATATTATATCGTTTCGATTGGAAATGACCATTAAAATGGCCAAGAAATGCAATTAGAAGAAGGAAACGTCCCTCTAAAGTGCGCGAAGAAAATCATTACACCAAAGATTCTAACGCGTGTACATAAGTAGGCGTTTTTGAAGTTATACTTCTTTAGCGCGTTATGAAAAATTGATGAGAGTGAAATTTTACGATGCGCGCGCACCGTGACACAAAATTGACAGAATGAAGTTGCCCACGGAAGAAGCTACGGCATTGGACATAATTTAAAAACAACATTCGAATAATAATAGAATTTATGTTACACTTAATTTAAGAGTTAAGTTATTTAATAATAAATATTTATTTATTTAATTTTTCAAATGTAAACTGAACTTTATTGACTATAATGACTCCTTTTCCAGTCTTTGATTATTTAATTGTAATTAATTATTTGCATGCAATCAAAAACTATTTTTAATAATGCCAAAGAAGTATAACTTCTTACGCGTATACACGTTTTTTTTTATGTAAAAGATGCAAACGGGCTGGAGGCTCACCTGATGTTAAGTGATAGCGCTGCCCATGGACACGCACATTGCCAGACAGCTCGCAAGTGCGCTGTAAAATTGCTATGCTTATAAGAGAGTTGTTTAAAGATTTACAGTCATTAGTAATTGTGTATTTAGTTGGTCTCTATAAATCACGTACAGCGCCAAGTATAATAAAATAATTGAAATATTACTATACATTTTTATATGAAAGTCTTAAGCAGCTGTTAGTCGCAGTAAAAGAACGTAGAAATGTATTTTTATTTAAATTTAAATAACTAACTGACTTGTTTCTAAAACTGAACAAATACCTTGACGATTCAAGACTTATTTTTTATTGTATATATTGATGTAGTTATCAATATGATATTTTGATTCCAGAGATTTGTTCCGTTTGCGGCGGTGGCGGCCGCTAACTGGGTGAACATTCCACTCATGAGGCAAAATGAAATTTTACTTGGTAAGTTATGAGGGTTATAAGTTTTCTTTCAATTCCAAATTATTTTTAAATATGTTATACCTAAGTATCGGATCCGACAGACGTTGTCCTGTACACACGTCTTACATACAAAAATAATATAAGTAAATCATTCTCGACTCCTCTAGAACACACACACACAAAAAATTTCATCAAAATCTGTCCAGCGGACTTTAATTTTGAACACACACACAGAAGATTTATATATACCTGCTGTTTATTTGCTGTATAGGTAAATAACCTAGACACCGACTGCAGTGCCATCCGCCGGGCTGATTTGTCAATCAAAACCATCCCAAACGCATACAAATCGGTCCAGCCGTTTAAGAGGAGTTCAGTGAAATACACACGTACAGTAGAGTTATATATGTAAACATTGGAGAAATAATATGTTAGACAAAAATTTGTGTTTCAAAGCAACTTCGGTAATTGCAACAAAAAATAATTACAAATAATTGCAGAAAACCAAACTAAATTCTGCCTTAGTTTAACAAAATTTGCATATTTAAAGTATCAAGATATTATATTGCACATATATAGGAAAGTAAATAACAGTCGATTTTTAATAAATAATTGATTAAAAATAATTTACGTGTTATATAAAATACAAACTAATATAAAATATATCGTACGGGAGCTGTTTAATCCATAAATCATTTCTTGTAATTAATAATTAATTTTATATATTTCAGGTTTGGATGTAACGGACGAAAATGGTAAAGTTATTGGAAAATCACAACTTGCACCAGTTAAGGGAATTTCACAAGTTGTTACTTCGAGGTGAGCGATTTAATAAACTTATTTATTCATTTATTTGTAATTCGTTACAGAGTTTATCCATTACAAATAAAAACACTCTTTAGAGGAAATGGGACTTCTTTTTGACGGACTTGTTAAAATAAAAGTAATTAGAATTCACAATATTTTACAGTAATAATCTTTATTGATTTTACACTAATAATCTTGAATCTTTATTGATTTTACACTAATAATCTTTATGGATTAATCTTTGTTGATTTTACACTGATAATCTTTAGTGATTTTACACTAATAATCTTTATTGATTATCTTTATTGATTTTACACTAATAATCTTCATTGATAATCTTTATTGATTTTACACTAATAATCTTTATTGATTTTACACTAATAATCTTTATTGATTTTACACTAATAATCTTTATTGATTATCTTTATTGATTTTACACTAATAATCTTTATGGATTATCTTTGTTGATTTTACACTGATAATCTTTAGTGATTTTACACTAATAATCTTTATTGATTATCTTTATTGATTTTACACTAATAATCTTCATTGATAATCTTTATTGATTTTACACTAATAATCTTTATTGATTATCTTTATTGATTTTACACTAATAATCTTCATTGATAATCTTTATTGATTTTACACTAATAATCTTTATGGATTATCTTTGTTGATTTTACACTAATAATCTTTATGGATTATCTTTGTTGATTTTACACTGATAATCTTCATTGATAATCTTTATTGATTTTACACTAATAATCTTTATTGATTATCTTTATTGATTTTACACAAATAATCTTTATGGATTATCTTTGTTGATTTTACACTGATAATCTTTAGTGATTTTACACTAATAATCTTTATTGATTTTACACTAATAATCTTTATTGATTTTACACTAATAATCTTCATTGATAATATTTATTGATTTTACACTAATAATCTTTATTGATTATCTTTATTGATTTTACACTAATAATCTTCATTGATAATCTTTATTGATTTTACACTAATAATCTTCATTGATAATCTTTAGTGATTTTACACTAATAATCTTTATTGATTTTACACTAATAATCTTTATTGATTATCTTTATTGATTTTACACTTATAATCTTATAATCTTCATTGATAATCTTTATTGATTTTACACTAATAATCTTTATGGATTATCTTTGTTGATTTTACACTAATAATTTTTTTTTTTTTTTTTTTTTTTTTTTTTTTTTTTTTTTTTTTTTTTTTTTTTTTTTTTTTTTTATCTTTATTGATTTTACACTAATAATCTTTATGATTATCTTTGTTGATTTTACACTAATAATCTTTATGGATTATCTTTATTGATTTTACACTAATAATCTTTATGGATTATCTTTATTGATTTTACACTAATAATCTTTATGGATTATCTTTGTTGATTTTACACTATAATAATCTTTATTGATTTTACACTAATAATCTTTATGGATTATCTTTATTGATTTTACACTAATAATCTTTATGGATTATCTTTATTGATTTTACACTAATAATCTTTATTGATAATCTTTGTTGATTTTACACTAATAATCTTTATTGATACTATGTATAAAATATATATTTTTTAAATTGTTTTTTATTTATTTCACATTAATGGTTATTTGATGAATTTTCAGAATCGTAATGTGTGCACCGGGAATGTTACTCCTTCCCGTGATAATGGAGAGAATCGAACCCAAGGCCTGGATGCAGAGGATCAAGTGGGCTCACATTGGCATACAGACAAGCATAGTTGGACTATTGTGAGTATAATTTTAACTAGCGATGTAAGAAAAAAAAGTGACTACGACCCTTTATTTACTTGACCCCAAATAATATACGTTTCGTGATTATTTTTGAAGTTATACTTCTTGTTGCGCGTTAGGGAAAAATGATGAGAGAAAATTTTTACGATGCGCGCGCACACCGTCACAAAAAACCGACACCCTGAATATCTGTTCAAAGGTCGGTAAAACAGTCTGGGCCGCTAGTTGGCGCTTGCTCTGTTTTACCGACAAGTTGCATTGTCTATCATGGCGTAGAGTTTTACAGAATCGCGCTTATTTAATCCAAAATAATGATTTCTATACAAGAAAACCCATTCCATTGTGAAAAACATAGTGTTTATTGTAGCTGTATTCGAAGAGGGAAACGTCCCTCTAAAGTGCTCGAAGAAAATTATTACGCCAAACAAGTATAACTTTTAACGCGTGTACATAAGTACTTACACGTTTTTTTAATTTTTCTTAATACACCGTCGACTTTTTGGGTCTTAGGCATGCCTTCATTCATCGCCTTGTCTATCTATTGATGAAAATCGCTTAAAAAGCCGTGCAATAGTTTTGAGTTTATACATTTGTCAAACAGACAGAGACGTCAACATGTCTAACGGCAAGAATTAAACATTTTTTTAAATTTCTTCATGGTAATCATATCTAAGTCGAACTGATCAGATCAGTGTATAATCCTGAAAGTCTTGAATTAGATTTTCACCGAAACATAAATTGTTTACTATTACTAAAAGGAACTTTTTGAAAATTAAATAAATTTCGTCATAGCGTAAATTTAATACCATTATTATTTTAGAAAAAAATGCTTATAATTTTTTTTTACAGTTTAACATTCATGGTGCCGACAGCGTGCGCTATATTCCCACAACGATGGTAAGGTTTATGTAAAATATTTTTCCCACTTTAATTTGGTCCTAATATGTTCAATGCTCTATCCAAAGCATAAATATTTTTTCAATTCGAACGAGTAGTTCTTGAGGTTGGCGCGACCAAACAAACTAGACACACTCAGAACTTAATATTAAATTTGTTTAAATGTATAAAGTATTTTTTTTAAACTAGTTAATAATTTCATTTTGCACAGTTTCTTCAGAATAAATATTAAACATAAATAAAGAACATTATATTTTAAAGAAATAAAAAAGCAAATATACCTATATATAATATATTTATTTTCAGCAAATTGTCAATTGACACAATCAAACGCTTTGAGAAGGACAGATATGATGAAATTGTGAAAAACACAGACGGAAAGCCCCCAGAATATGTATACTTTAACAAGGGATTGTAAGACAGTGAAATCTGTCCCATACCCCAGATGTACTCTGTCACAGTTGGCTAATTCATTGAAGGTTGAATTTCCAGCGAAATCAAAAGGTTCCCAGTGCCTCCACTTAAAATCACTATTTTATAAGTGTAGGTGTTTTTTCTAGTATTATGAATAGATCAGAAATATAAGTAATAAATATGTCATATGGAATTTAGGACATTCACTGCCATAGACAATTTTTTATATTTCTTTGCCATGGTTATATATATAATATAAATATAGGTTTTTTATTTGCGGGTATTTTATGCATTTAATTATTAAATTTTTATTAGATCTGAAAAGAAATACTATTACTGAGAATTATTAAAATTTAGTAAATGTAAGGTGATTAAACAAAAAAAATTTTTTTATATGACAATAATAAAATATTGTTATTTAATATTTCACAGTTTTATAAGCTAGTACTTTTAAATCTCTGTTTATTTAATCAGTATATATTAAAATTATTTTAATATTTATATTTTTTCTTGACGAAACAACTCATACATAGCTCAAATTTTCGTACATAACATTCCATATGTGTTTGTATGGTTTTAATTATAATAATACATTAGCTACAGTTGGACAGTATTGAGTGTAATTTAAGCTTGCTTTATATATTTTTTTTAGCTTTTTATAGTTATTTTAACTTTTGTAATTAATTTGTTAAAATTATAAATTAAGGAATTGAAATGATATTTAATCTATCAAATTGAATTTATTGGTGGCAACAGTCACGGAATGGGTGGAAAGTAGAATTTATGCGCAGATGTGCAATTTTAGATTATTTTCTTTAATAAGTCTTCAAAGTGAAGTAAAGTTAGTTCATTGAATGAATAAAATGAATCAGCTGAAATACTTTTTTTCAGGCAATTTTGCAAAGATTTTTAGTCTGTGTTTAATGTTTTTATAAGATCTTAATGTGTACTTACAAATTTGATGGTATAATTTTATTTGTAATCATTTTCATTTCTGATTGTTATTAGTATAGTGCTTGTTATGATGCTTGGAGATTTCTCTATGATAAAAAAGACAATAAAATGTTGTGAAAGTTATTTGTTTATTATTCCTTAGTCATTAATTATTTCTAATCTATGATGATTCTTATATAATTAAGATCATTGCATGGTTGTGTATATAGAAACCGACCGGGCATGCAAGACAAATCTACTCCTAATCTTGAGTGGGGAGTTTGTGATAGAAAAGAAGTGTTGAAGGTCTGACAACTGCCTAATGCGTTAGCGATTAGCAGGTTCTGCAGATCGTGAGGGCTAGGCTTTGAAAATAGGTACAAAACTTAATCGCTATCAAAATTTTTAGAATATTTTTTTCCTAAATTTTACGTTAAAAATTTCCTTAACTTGGCCTTGGCCATGTATGAAGTAATAAACCTTCGTAGGCCTTAGAAGCACGTCTAGTTTTGCCCTCGCGTCAAAAAAATTAACAAAAAATCCTAATAATTTTCTTCATATCTTAAGTATCTTTTGTTTATGACTGATACCGCTTAACAGAGTTTGTCATGGAAATAACTGTTACGTTGTAACTAATCACTTTTTAGAATTTGTCATTTCTATACCAGAATTAACTAAAGACAACATTTAAAAAATAACCGTATTTAAATATATTATTAACCAGTGACAATCACAATAATCACATGACAGATGGTAGTGTAATTATTGACTCTATTAATTCTATGAACTTTGAAGGTAGATTTGTATTAAATCTACCGACAACAATTTTGACCTTTCTGCATCGCGATTACATAGTTTTTCTAGTTGCTAAATGTAAGTAGCATTTCTATTATGGGCCTTTCGGGGTCAGCTGCTGCGAAGGAAGCCAGTTCACTCAGCTGGTCAAAAGTGGGTGAGATGTTATTAGTGTATGGTGTTCCACTTCGCAGAGTTGTGCAATATAACCCTATGTGGTTAACTCGACCCCACTTTTGCCTTGTATTTATATATTACATCTATTTGTAGACCCAACTTTTGCCTTGTATTTAGAGACACACCGCCGCACCACAGCACCGTCACCAATAGTAATAATTGCAAAGTAGAAATATATTAAATTTTTAAATAGCACATTTGTATTTCTTAATCTAGTTTGTCTTTTATTTTTAATGTCGTTAATATAAATTTTGTGCACACTTTGTCATTGATGCACATGCATGTATAAGACTCTCGTTTTCGATAATGTCCAATATGTTGACTACACTTATATCTTTTAGAGGTATGTTCATTCTTTAGGGAATGACTGGGCCGGTAAATGAAACTCTTGAGACTTCTTGTATAAACTTGTTTAATTTCTATATATGACCTTTCGCTAGTCAAGTACAAAGAGAAGTGATGGCGCGCGTCGCCCCACCTTACAATTATAATTCAAAAATGCGCCTGATATAAAACTTGCGCAATGTCGCAACATACTCCCTGCCGTTGAACTCTTTCAATATTCTTCTTGTACCGGCAACTTGCACAGCCGGACCAATGAACGTGATATGCAGTCGCTGCTGGTTTTAATCTCTGCCACTCTCACCAGTCCATCTAAGCCATTTATCAGCCGCTGCACTCAGAGACTGATCAAGAGTTCTGGCCGCTCTAGGCTAATTATCAGGATGCGCCCCTGCAGGTGATAGGTGTGGTACGGTCGGTCTAAAAAGTAGTATATTAGTTTTGACTTTGTTAGGTACTAGTGTGAAATGGTTCATACTTCTTAAAAGTTTACAGATCGATTTGCAAGCGAAACGACATGTCCTTTAATTTGCACGACTTGTAACCATGTTTAGCTGACCGTTACACGAAGGCAAAGCACCTCAACTTACGACAAAATCATAAGGTACCAAGTAGAAAACAAATCTTAGGCTTAGTTTCTATGGAAGCTTAGTTTTTGCAGCTATTACCCATAGACATGGTCATCTAGTGTGTGATGTTCTTTCGACTTTAAGTTATTTTTACAATATTACACTATGTTGTTATCTTTAAAAAGATGAGAGGATCAAACAAGTGAAACATTTGTCAACTTTAAAAAATTAAACTTTTTTTTAGCTACACAAAAGGCCTTTTTCTTGCTTTAGCGATAGCAAATTTTTCCAAATTTAAAAGTTTGTAAAAAATGATTTTCTATGTACATTAGCGAGAGCGCTGCAAGTTTTGCTGGCGGAGTGTGCAAGTAACTTTACTCAATGCTGAAAAAGACCTTTTGCCGCTGCAGTTGGTAACACTCATTGTCAAAAAAATTTAATATTATTCCAACGGGAACGTGCATAAAATTAATATAATATAACTTTTTATTAAGTGTATTAAACCTTTGGGGTTCTACAGAATATAATGCTCGGCCTCGGTGTCAGATTTTAAAAGCTGTGCAAATGGACAATTCTTCCTAAATCAGTGGCATATGTAGTTCTTTAATTCCTTTGCTTTGCTTCTAATATATTAACTGTCGTCTGGTTCATAAGTTACCAAACAAATCAAACGTTATGACATATATAAAAATTACATTAAATTATCAACATAGAATATCGCCTACCTCTCTTAGTTTCTTTCTTCTTAATCTTTTTTGTATGTGGTCACTTCGCATCTATTGATTGCCTCTGATTCAAAATTTTTAAACTCTTTTTCTACGCAATATAAGTAACAATGTCTCATAAAAAGTAACAAGTCAATAAATCAACAGAACTTGCCTGTGTACTAACGATATGAAACTTTACGAACAAGTTCCAAAACACCATTATTGCAATTTCTAGAGTTAGTTTTTTCTAAAACTGCTTTGCTTCCATTGGTCTCTTTACTTTGATTTTCGAGTTTTGAAAGATTTTTTAGTACCGTAGATTCTTCATCAATAATCCAGTTCATTTAGTGTTTTGTCTCGGTGTAGTTGAAATATGCCCCCTGAGTACGATTTCAGCGCGCCCGCCCCTAGATCTCCGCCCTAGGCTGCAGCCTAATTAGCCTAAGGGTTTATCAGCCGCTGCACGCGACCTAACTTACATTTATAATTTGAAAATGCGCCTGATATAAAACTTGCGCAATGTCGCAACAGGCAACCTAAGCGTCACTTAGATTTAAGATCCCTTCAATAAGCCAAGTTAGTTTTTTGTTACCCATTTACCCCTAATTTAATGTATGTTATAAGCTCATGTTTTAAACAATTCAAGCCAGTTGACACCCAGCTTCAAACCAACAGTTTCATTTGAACATCCCTCCAGCAATCGCCACCGACCTTAACTATTTCTCTTTTTATAAACAAATGACATTCACAAAAATTATATGACGGATGGCATTGTCATTATTGACCATTATAAATTCTATTAACTTTTGAGGGTAGATTTATATTAAATCTACCGACAACAATTTTGATCTTTCTGAATCGCGATTACATAGTTTTCCTAGTTACTACATATAAGTAGCAATTCTATTATAAGCCTTTCGGGGTCAGCTGCTGCGAAGGAAGCCAGTTCACTCAGCTGGTCAAAAGTGTGTGAGACGTTATTAGTGTATGGTGTTGCACTTCGCAGAATTGTGCAGTATAACCCTATGTGGTTACCTCGACCCCACTTTTGTAATTTTCTGTAATTATTTATACAAATGTTTATTTAGGTTATTAATTTTTATTATGTGTTTTAATTTTTGGGTGTTGTATTAGCAATATGATATAGATTTAGATTGTTTTAATCCCATCGTTGAGTGTTTATATGTTTCTAAGGAAACAGGCATTTTCAACTCCGTAGTTTTTAGCGTATAACAGCTAGCAACAAATGCGCTCTTTTTATTTTATAAAATATTTGTATCAAGTTGATTAAATGTATAAACAAATAACTGGTTAAAACAATGGTAGCAAGTGGTTCCGATCCACGGACATCCTTTGAAAATACAGCCTAGCGAGGACGGCGGAGCCTCTTACCTATTCATGCAATATTACATTTGTAAAACTGTAGATATTAGTTTAATTTTAAACAAATACAAGGTAGGTCTGTATGTACGGCTTAACAAGTATCTCCATTTCGACTGGTTAATAGTTTATACGATATAATTATTCGATTTCTTCGCACGCATAAGTCAAGACTGGGTCGTTACAATGTTAGATAAAAAAACTTTTTGTACTATATGTATGTTAAAACGCTCTAACGTACTTAGTAATACCATTTTTATTTAGGCGTTGTCTTGAGGGTTACATTGTATTCTTCATCTATTTCACATTTGATAAAACACTCCTAGTATCAGACACCGAAGAAGAGATAAGTCTTAGCCAGTTACTCTTGTATAGGTTTTGATAGTACCTAACATATTTTATCTTTAATCAACTTCATAAAGGAGGAGGTTATCCACTCGACGTGTAATTTTTTTAGTCTGTGATTTAAGTGTGTTCGAAATGTATTATTTTATGTGAATTGTCACTTCAATAGCCGAATGGGCTTAAAATTAAGAGTTGATTTTGTTGCTTAATTTTTATTTTCACTGTATTATAAGCATTGTTCTTCTTTTTTTAAATATAGATAAGATGTAGTCAAGTAAACATATAAAATAAATAATTAAAGATCTGGTTTAGTAGCTTCTGTAGTATCAGAAGTCTTACGCATTCAATGTAGAAGCGTTGAAATAAGAAATTACAGTTTAAAGCGCAAAAATTCCATGATTGTCGAATACAACTCGACAATGAAGTTTTATATATTATGTTTAAGTAATGGTTTTAATGAAAATATCTGATAGTTTTAAGTTTTTATTTAATAAATCTTAATACAAGTATGAAAAATTATTTGAACTGCAGAGTTGCTTGTACGCTAGATATAATATAAATACAGGCATTTACAATTATGTTATGTGTATAATACAAGGCACCGGCAGTATGAGTATGATTCAGTACAATTCATTGGCACTTTTACGCTAGTCCCAAGGCAAGAAATTATAGATCGAATTGACGCCGAACATTCTAAATTTAAAAAATAAATAATAAGAAAAGAATTTAATAATGTCTAAAACAAATATTTATAATCTATACTTTTATAAAATTGGCACAAATACATTGCAAAAATACGCCGATAAATACGGGACAACATTATATTACGAGTGCCTGATTAATATGAACTTAAAATTAAGCTATGCGCATAAATTAATTTCGACAATCAAAAATGACAATTCATCTCCAAATGGTAACTGTCAAACTGAGCGCATAGACAATTTATTCGAGTAAAGCTTAATACACTTCCGCCTTTTCTAGCAACACTGACGCGTCACACATCGCTTTAGCGGTAGACCGTACTAGAAACATTAAATGTAACTGTTCGAATACATTTAGCTGTATTCTTGTTCTGACAAGACCGTGTAAGACTGTTGCCCTTTCTAGATCTAACCATCGTTGAAGGGACAGTTCCCTTTCACTCACAGGAACGCCTTGAACGACGTCTAAAGGACCCCAAAGCATGAATTCTAGCACAGATTTCGCTTGATTTAGGGAGATTGCTCGTTCTTCTTGCAATACTTCTTTGAGAAGAGGGGATAGTTTTTCTCCTGGAAGAAGTATTTCTAGTGCTTTCATTGCAGATTTGCATAATGATGAAGGGTGATCGTCTTCAGTTTTATTGCTGTCGTCACCCAATCTGAAAATTATATTTTTTATTAAATATTTTCATAAAACTTTAAACCATATCGGTAGTTAAATTAATTGCATAAAAAGTACGTTCTAGATTAGAGATCTTTTTTTTTTAGTCATTCCTCCTGTTGGACAGAATAAACATCATTATAACACTATGTAGAAGAAAGGGATTGGGACGACTATTCATCTAGATATATCGTATTAAATATTTACAGTGAACTAAAACATTTAAAGAGAATATTACCCTTGTAAAATACATAATCTCCCATAGCAATTCGTCTTCGGTGCTGACAGGGAGTTTAACCTATCATCTTGAGTTGGCGAAGAATTGCTTGCCTGAACTTCTTTCAAAATAATAAACGATGTTAGGGCTTCATGTACTTCTTCCACGCCTCGGGCTTGAAGGCACTTGAGGCCGATTATGACTTGAAGCATAATAAATATGGCTTCATGTTTCTGCTCTGTCTGAACCAGCTGATGTTCCTTAGATGTAGAATCTGTCATATGAAGCAACTCGCCGTACGAGTCGATGGTGTCGGGTTGCGCGTGAGCCAATACGACAATTGTTGCTGAAATACGAATAAAAATTATTTGCCTATAAATAACATGTTACAATTAAAATTTAGACTATGTTATTACTGAATAGTAGGTTAAAATCATAATATATCTCTCTTGCAGATATGTCAACAGGCAATTGTCAAAATCGTGTCGTATTACCAATCGTAAGTTAAAGCAACCGTTAATATGTTAGGCGAAACCTGTTTTACATTTCCTCTGAAGTCACATTTTTCCAATACATTAAAATTTCAGCTTTAATAACACAGAGAAACTTATAATATTATTACCTTGAACCAGATCCTCTCCGTCTTCTCCAAACTGCTGCAGAGGAACCAAATCGCAAAACTCAGTTATGGCATTAAGACTCAAGGTTTGAGGTTGTACCGATTGGCAGACCATTTGCGATGCCATCTGCTCCTTGTACAGCATTAATGTGACATTGACAGGACCTTGGCTGGAGTTCCAGATCGCTGGATAGAAGAATCGCCTGCCTGCTTTCGTGTGTTTGCTCTGTATGCAGAAGTCTGTCCAGCGTAGATTAGTGCAGGCTTTCAAGCCGCGTAGAGAAGGCTGCATTGTTGCGCTTTGTTGCACCTGCAAATTACGTATTCGTAATTAATTTTTGTTCAACTCGCATGCATGAGGAGTCCCTAATTCTTCGGTTTGCAGAAAAATATTTGTAATGAATGCTAAGCGATGTCTAACGTAACATAGTCAATGTATTCTGTGACATTTTAGTAATGGCGCGTCTAAACGGGCCATGTTTTGCTGCAATTGATGGCTGCACTGTTGGCCACTAATTGCCCGGCCATTACAAAAATATTTTAATGCAGCTGATGGCCGAACAATCTATGGCTGGGCAATGTGTTGCAATATGTCTGCAATAGTATGGCCCATGATGCAGACTCCTAAACGGGCCACACAAACCGGTAACAATGGCTGACGAAATCACACTTGTCGCAGCAGCTTATATTGTTTTAAAAAAGAAACAGAAAAAGAAGAGATTGTGGATTCGACCTTAATTAAATAGGCGTGAAACTGTAGACAATTTGAGTCTAGAAATAAGTCTTGATAATAAATTATTCAAGAACTAGAATGTCAAAAGTAGTCATTTTTACGTAGTAATCTAACGTCAAATACAGCTGATCGCAAAACACAGAATAAAGCAACAGGCACACTTCACTCAAAGCAAATGTCATGTCGCGTAGAAAAGGATACACTATGCCATAACAAAGAGAGTGACTGAAACAACAAGAGAACTGGCCGTGCAATATTGCAGTTGAATTCGATAGCCTAGCGATCGTCCGGCCACCTATCGGGGCAACATCGGCCATATGTGGCTATACAAAACATGTTTGGCTATATGGCCGGGACATTACTGCAATATTGCATAGTGTGGCTGCTATTGTTTGCAATGTTGCCGGCCACAGTGTTGCAGCCATCAATTGCAGCAAAGCATGGCCCGTTTAGACGCGCCATAAGGAATTCCAAATTCGCATTAATTTAATGTATCTGTCTTGCTTAAAAAATTGCAGATGTCTTGAAAGGCATGACTTAATTGACATGTGCAGGGGGTTGGAATTTTATTAATGGCAATTTAAATTCACTTGTATTTTGCATGGCAGGTGTTCGAAATTCACATAAGTAAGTGTTACCCTGATTTACTGTAGTTTATCATTTTATGCCTATCAAAATCAAAATCTAACATACTAGGTGATTTTCTCGACCTGTAATTTTAGTTAAACCGTTGTAGCTAAAGGGCGATTTTCTAATCAATTACATCACGCCACGTCGCAATTTAGTACAAGAAAATTACATGAATTATATCAAATTACCTGTTCTAAAACCTGCGCCAGCGCTTCGTGATTCGCGATAACCACGGCCCCGTAATTATCCTCCAAGTTCCTGTGTACCACGCTCCTTCCCTTTCTAACACGCAATTTGTTTGTTGTAGTTTTTGGCGTCATGTCTGTTTGATAGTCATCGTTGCTTGGACTATCCATATTATCATTGGAGCTGTAGAAACTGTATGGGGAATATATCTCTGATTCTGTCTCGCTTCCGCAGTATGGTAGGGAAGACCGGAAATTATATTTGGGAAATTCGGTTTCAGTCTTTCTATCAGGTCTTTCTTGGGGCTTGATTGGCGAGTCGCATTCTGGCGAGCTTGACCGCGCGTTGTGAACATATTCGTAGTCACTGTCGCTATTTTTAGCTGAATCACAGTTCTCATCATATTTGTTGTTATATACTTCATCGTAGCTGTTGATAACGGGATCGTTTGTGGCCTGTACCAGTTCCTGTGGTCCATCATCTATTTCATCTTTGTCATCGTCTTCGATTGGCGTCCTGCGCTTCAGTAGTTCTAATTGTGTCTCTCTTTCACGCATACTGGCCGTTCGTTCTGGCTTTCGAGGTGCTAATGCCGACCTTATTTCTCCTGGAAATTATTATTGAGTTATTTTATTGGTTGCGATTGACATTTTAAATATAGTTAACACATATTTTTTATCCGATTATTATTGTATACGGCTTCACTTATGCGAAGATTATCCAGCATATACTAAAATTTAGCATACAATTCACTCTCTAATTGCTATTTAGTCTTACATATGTATGTATATACAGTGCATACTATCTATAGCGACGTTTAAGAGACGACACGGTTTCTGTCGATACATTGAGGTAATTAAATAACATAAAAAGAGTCATCGTTTTACCGTTTACGAAGGTCGAATAATTTCGACTATTTAGGTGGTGATAGTGAAATGTGTTGTGTTACATACTGTAAGCTATACCTACCTAAGAAAGTCGTAAAGGAAAAGTATCGTGATCTATCTATTTGAATAAAATGTTAACAATTATAATGTAAAGCTCGTAGTCACGACAGGACGAGGTCAGTGGGATGAGATCACAGTTATTCCACTATCAAGTATGTACAGTAAATTGCATGTGATACGGCTTATTTTGTGATACACGTAACTTCAATAGCGTCTAACATTATGTTTTTAATTAACGTTTAAAGAACTTTATTTTCACATTACAAAGTTATATATCTTACATGAGAAACTTAATATACGAGTGCACGTCGCCATCAGACAGCCGTTCATATTTTAGTCTTTTAAGCTCTGATGTAATATCTAATGCCCTTTTAAATTGATTAAACCCGCATAAATATTAGACGGTGATTTATTTTATATAATTACACACATTAGCACCTAACGCGTGCGTGTGTGAGTTTAAAAGGCATTATATTTTCTAGAAGCCTATCTGGAATAGGTCACTTCTCGGTTTGGGAGATAGTTCTTTAGGGAATTTATGTATATTGGTTTTCAGTTTTAGCGTATTCAATAAAAGTTCGATTTTAAATACATTATTTTTGGAAGATTGTCCTTTTTATTAATTTTATATAACACAATTTTGCGGGTATATAGAATAAATAATGTAATGTTTGGTTTGCTTATCTAGTTAAATTGTATGTACACACCATCTTATTAATGCAAACATATAGTTTTTTTATAGAATCATCTCGCGTACGTTATGCAACATAATATTAAAATCAAACTATATATTGTTATTACTTAATATCCTTTTGTAATATATGTGGCGAATATGATAATTCTACAGTATTTTATAGGACATCTAATAAAGTATGTAACATTGAACATTTAATACTACAAATGTTACCAAGTTACAATAAATTCATGTGAATTAATTTCTCAGTAAGTCTACAAGATCGTGACTTACCTAAATTAGCATAAATTGTGTCACCGTTGCTGGGAGCGGCCGCCCAGGCTTGTTGTTTTTGCTTCTTCTGCAGGGCGATAGACTTAGGCGGTGGTGGTCTAGCCGGCTTGGGTATACCAGATGTGTTTTTATAATCTTCACTCGACAACCTTGGTGGAGGCGGAGGTTTGTTTACGACCTTCGGCATGTCATCTGTCGCGGAACTACACCCACTGTATAACGAAACATCGTCGTGACTCAGACGCCGTAAATTGTCTGATATTTCGCAATTCGATTTCACCACCTCAACGCTGGATCCGTTGATGTCCAAAGGATGAATAATCACCAATCTAGGTTTCGGTTTCGGTGTCAAATCATAGATCTCTTCAGTTTTACTTGTTACTTTCGTAACAGTGGCCACGCTTAACTCTTTTTTGTCCAAATCTTTCGAAGAACCGATACGTAACAACTTCTTGATAGAGAACTTCAGTTTCCCTTTTCGCTTTTCGTCTAATAGTAAATTGTCATGTGAAAGGGATATATTACGTCTTGGTGCTGGTTCCGGAACATCTGTTTTGGATATATCCGGCTCATTTGAGTGTCGCTGTTTGGGTGACGATGACATAACAGCTCTTTCTCGTTTTTCCATTTCACGTACGACCGGTGAGTCAGACTTCATAAATCCATTAGGATTTCTTTGGTAAATATTGTTGGAGAATTCTTCGTTCGGAGTTAAAGGTGGGGTTGGCGCTTTCCGTTTGCATAAACTGTTAAGTGATGTGTCGCTATCTTGTTTAGTTAACACTGGTTTTGCATAATATACAGTGTCTGATCGATCTTCACATAATTCATTATTCTTTTCCTCATTAGCATGTCGAGTAACTTTCTCGATGTCTGTTTTTGCTGTTTGCATAACGTTTTGTGTACCGGTATTATTTTTCTTACTCGTTTGTTTAATAACAGGTTTTACGGGAAGCTTAGGCTTTTCAGGTAAAACTGGTTTCGACGGCATTATGTCAGTGATCATACCGTGAAGGAATGATGGACGTGGATCCATAGTAGGCATTGGGCTCTTAGGTAACGCGGGGGCTTCGGTTGACTCATCGGGATCCGCCCGCCCATCGGGCTCACCCGCCAGTTCACGACTCGCTTCCGCGGAAAATATTACTTCTTGTTTAGGTATAATGGGTGGCATATCTATAATTGGATTCTGGAATGTTGAATATCCACTGTGAGCTTGACCGTCTACTTTTCTTAACTGTCCGATCGGAGACATTTTAATGTTTTTATCGCTTTCATTAAACACCTTGATCTTAACGGTTTCTTCACATTTGTGCGGCTCAGAGAAATGGCCGCTATCATCATTATCCGAGTCAGTTCTAGCACTAAAACTCTCATCGTCCGACGTAAAAGAATTATTTGGAGTAGAGTTTAACGTGCTGACAGCAGAATCGACGCTACTACTTTCGATATTTATTTTACAAAACTTAAACTCTGATCTACTTAGATTAACTTTTGGTCTTTCCTGAGTTTTCGGTAACGGGGATTTTCTAACGATACCATTCTTTTTGGTTTCGTTGTTGTCTTTTCTTTCACACTCATCTTGCATACTCTCTTTAATCTTTTCTTCAACAACAGTCGGCTTGTCACTCCCCATTTCAGAAAAGCTCATATCAGTTCCACCCATTCGATTTTGTTGCAATGTTTCAGAAATTTCTTCAAGGAGTGATTTTTCTGTACACAATATAGTATCAGTAGATTTAACTCCTTCCGCAGCAATAATGGTTTCAGATTCCTTAATGTATGTGGAGAGTATGATATTTGTTTTGTAATTATTTTTTGTTGACTCTTCGGTGGGTGGATCAGTACCAGATATGACTGCAGATTTTCGAGCATGCGTCTTTACTGACGGACTATTGTTATCTTGTCCAAAGGGGGTAACAGATACCATTAGTGTTTTCTTCTTTCCATCAGAATCTTTTTGTACTTTGCCTAGCATTAATGACGTATAAGATTTAGCTGCTGAATCACCTAATAGGTTAGCTTTCACTGTGTTAAAGTCTGTGTTACATTTTGTTATCTTGTGAAGCTCTCTTTCTTCTTCTGTATCTGGGAATGAATCATCTTCATCGTTGTCCTCGGAGACTTCGAATTCTTCTCCATCGGACCAGTCGTCACCTCCATATCCTATGACACTGCATACTTCTTCAGGAAACCGAACATTACGTTTGCTTTTCTTTTTAGATTGTACCTTAAGAATGCTTGGCGGAGTTTTCTTGAAGAATGTGTTTCTATTTTGGAATGGAGTCGGTAAATACTTGCTGCTGTCTGTTTGTGTCCTATCTTGCTTTGAGTGCTCTTCGCGAGATTTGAAGCAGTTGGAGCAGAAATCTTTCTTCCACGCATTCTGTACGAAGTTGTGGCAGACAGGTGACATCTTGCTCCTTGAATAGCGTCTGTTGATCACATAACTGGCATTCTGAAAAGAAAAAATAATAATTAAGCCAAACTTTCACTAAAACTATGCATCTGTATGCAAAGAGGACATACATAATTAAATAATCTAATTTGAATACATTTCAATAATAATTAATAACTCTCTGTTACAAATCATATACGCATAATTAAATATCATTTAATTGCGGGTATCACCATAAATATTTTATTCGCGTGATTGCAGTATTGAACGATAAGATTGGAAGTATTTTTATCTTATATTTATAACTTTATTAACTGGTTTATGTTATCTTAAAGATTGTCACACGGCGATAATTACATAATACGGAAATGAAGACTTAAATATGGCAATATAAAGATTTAACAGGACCTGAAATAACGATTAAGTTTATATTAATTAAACGAAAGCGAGTTTGTTCCGCTTTCGCGGCTAAGTTACCGGACCGATTTAATGAAAGCCTGAATTTGTTTATAATAGATAACTATATATATAGATAAACAATATTGTAATTCCCACTGTTTACTTGGTTTCTATTAAATTATGATTATGTGACGTGTGTTGATTGTGTCTAGTCTCGTTCCTCGTTATGTCACGCGGTCTCTTATGAATTACTGCAACCATCGAGACTCTATTTCCTTATTGTATTATTAGACAAATCTACTAAAGCTAAGGCGTGCCAACCGTCGGTTCCCATTAGGAAAGCCACATTATTTAAGGCTAGGCTTTAAAGAATTACTTCTCTACGAGTGTACGTTTTAACCCAATTTTATTTATTAACATTAACGAACCCGTGTTTAGAGGAAGGCTTTAAGCCACAGGACCTGGGACGTTTTGTACATGAGATCACGGAATGATTGTTAATGGACGATGCTATTTGTATCATCATGTTCTATGATCTGCAAATTAAAGTTTTTTAGACACTTCTTTCTGCGGCCTGTTTGACCTAAAAATTTGAGTGGCGAAAAAGCCGAGCCGAGCCGAGCTACGTGCTTCTAGCTGCAATTGAGCTAATTTGCATACATAAACGTATTGTGAAGATGGACAGCCAATTAGACTAGACAATATGAGGATATAGCAAGGTCGTATCATTAGCCGATATGATTAAAGGCTATTGTTTCTATTGTTTATTTAACGGGTTAAAGAACGTATCAATAAACTTGTAGACGATATGGCTTCGTCTGTGAATGAGGATTATCAGTCGATTCAATGTTAGTTTTATAAAGATTGACTTGCATAAATTGAATGTTTTTTTTTATCGATTTTGTTTTGTTAATTGTATTGTGATGCATGGTTTATGCAGGAATCTCCAACTTTTTATCTATATCTTCTTATCCTATTTTCCACAGATATATAACATTAACTAACGTATATTCATTAATCAAACAAAATAGAATTAACTTTGTAAACGGAGTCGCTTCCTATTGAACTTCCTTTCCGTAAATATAACAACACATATTTTTTAATTCGTCCTAAATCTCGAAGAACATACGACTCACTTTGAAAAACAAGTCTCTTTAATTTGGTTCGACTTCCTATATATAAAAGCAAACAGACCAACACAGCACCTTAACAGTTGCGGTCAACTAGTTAATAATAACCATAGAGTGGAATTCAGGTCGCCGAGACCGGTACACGGTGAAATTGAGGCGACACACGAATCAGACAAAGATTGATAAATGAAAGATGTAGTTTTACTATAGTAATACCTTTGAATTGATAAACAAATATTAATAATAGGTTGGATATCGAGTATTTAATTTAAATTTGAGAGTCAATTATATATCTTTACAAATGTTTACAGCACGTATTGTTCCACGTTTTGGGTCGCAGAGTAAGCGACATTAAGTTCGAGTTGCCTACACTATATATTTTAATTAAGCTACGTAAAAATAACATTCTTTGAATATAAAACTAAAAACCTTAAAAAATATGATATGTATAATAACTGAAATATATTATTAAAAGGAGTCAGTTTAGGCAAGGTTCCGAAGATACTGGCAGCATTCCCCCTTTGAATAGCTAGACTAATTATTTGTCCGAGGTAGCTGCCAGCTCTTCGGTCTCCTGTGATGTTGACTAATAACAATAACAATGTTAACCTATTAGCCATTTCCTTCAAAAGCCTTATATCGCTAGGACCCCACGGACCAAGGGTCAGGACACCGAATGGGACAAAACTATATTCGGAGCCTAGACCCTTGTATATCCATGCTTTGTTATATCTCTTTATATCCCGTTTGATAAATCATGTACAAAAAAAACTGAGCCGTGGATAAACCAGAATGGGCTAAAATAGTCTATGACAGAAGACACCCCAAAAACGTTCCCAACCAAAAAACAAAACTATTTAATCATTGTTTTTTTTACCAATTATTTGTTATTTTGTTGTTGTGTAAATAATAGAAAATACTTACTTTATTTATATAATTCTTCGGTCAGGGAAATGATTAAGATATATGTAAAATAAATTTTTCGTGTAAAGAATTTGGATATCATAAGTTGTCATTAGATTAACCTACGTAGCAGTTCAAAGTGTGTTTGCCCGCGATAACATTACCCAGACGGAATGTTTGAACAGTGGGCCATACAAAAGGGTCTTTAAGTCTGAGAAAAGTCAAGGGCGTACATTGTCCGGTCCGACGAGCTGCGTAAATTGTTTCTCAATTGAACAAAATTCACTAAAGTGCGAAGAGTAAACAAAACAAAAATGTTGCCATTCGTAACAAAAAAAAACTTACAGATGCTCTTGTACTCGCTCTACGGCTTAAGGGGCAGGTCATATATCTAGAGCCGGGGATAAAAGATGGAAACTTGATACAACAAAATGGTCTGGACCAACTGGAAAGAGATGGGTCGACAAAAGAAAAGATGGGCAGATATAGAATGGAAGTAGCGGAGGAAAACTGGATGAATGTTGCTCAAGACAAAGAGAAATGGAATAATAAAGAGGAGGCTTTTACCTTAAAAGGGGCCATACAATACAGAACATATACAAAACTAACTTAATTTTTGACTTACAAACACAACTGATACTTAAACAAAGAAATGTAAACAAACAATTGTTGTATGCATAAATTAATAAAGCTTTAATAATAAACTAAAATATTATAATTTTCATATATATATTTGGTAGTTTCAAATATTTATTAAAATTTTGTATGAATATCGCCCTACCAAATCAAACTGTAAGTACCGTCAAGATTAACTAAGGTAAAAAGGAAAGATTTCGACACGTAACTAGAAATGTTTTGGCGTTGTGGGCGACTGTTCGCAAGCATCTATACAAAGAGTATTTACGAGGATTTATCGGTTCCGGGCTTAAAAACTTTTTCTCTAAGAAATAAGTAAAAACAATTGACGTTCAAATTTCGATTACTTGCGTAATTGTAAGTCCCATATGGGGGCATTATCAACAGACAATGTGGGACACATATGTATTGAGCAAGTTTTGTTAATTATGTCAAACTCGGTCAAGTACATACTATTGTTATTAATATAATAAAATATAAATGTGGCAGCTATTGTATAATTTTAGAAATTATACAATAATAGAATAAAATTACACGGTTTAGTATTCTCAAATAATTTTACAACGACTTTAATAAAACACGAAAGACGAAGTTTAGTTCGACGATATATGTACACACGACAGAGGGGTTTGAAGATTTGAATAAAAGTAAATTGATATACTTTCTTACTATGATTCTGTTAACCCCGACGCGTATGGTAAATCCTTTTGATACTGATATAGTCTCCAATCTCAAGTTCAAAAAACACAACTTATGACAAATTAATAGGCTCTCGTTTACTTTGGAAATATCGGCTTAGAATTGGTATAAAAAATTAATAAATATGCAATCCGCTGGCCGTGAACCCAAAGTGATATCATTCTAGCCGGTTTCGCCTAAAATGGCATCCAAGCATTTTTATTTTCCTTTTTTGTAAAACATATTACTTAACTTGATGACATCATATTCTAATCCTCATATTTATATCTGAAATAATTTATTTTTGTTTATTATAAGTTATACGCATATTAACACAGCAATAAAACTAAAACAAAAATTACAGTAAAAATACAATAAAATCTTAATCACGTATATCAGTAATTGACCTAGGGATTTTGCTATATTTAGTATCTAAATTTTATTAATAAGCCTCAATTAATTAAATAATGTTTTGTTAATTATATTTAACATTCGTGGCACATTTAATAAAAGATAATTCTTACGGACGATAGCAATGCGATGTTACCTACATCTAAGACCTATTAAGAATGAAATGCTAATGGACCCAAATAAGGTACCTAACAAGTTGACCTATAAATCGGTCGTAGGTGTACTTAATTATTCTCTAAGATCATTTGTAAAGTTGAAACAGTGTCGAATACTGAGTCATAATAAGATTGCTGGAGGTAGATAAAATTTGATTTGTTTTTATCTTTGTCAATAGGGTTTAGATATGAATGTATTAATGCAAAAATAGCAGTATCGTAGGCATTTATTGTACTGCGTGACGAACTGTGAAATTTATAAAAAAATGTGATCCTAAGGAGTTTGCTAGCCTCTGTAAAGTCTGATAGTACGTAAGTTGTAATTTTATATTTGTTGATTTGGTTATGACCATCGCACTTTACCCTTAGTATTTCCTTTTTTGTTTTTTTTCCCCGCTAGGGTTACCTGGAAGCGATAGTTTGTTAGCGATAAGGTAACGTTGCATAGGGATGCAATAATTTACGTTATTTTTTTATTTTAATTTAACGAAGTTTAAATATTTAAAAAATAAATAAGTTAGCGTTTATCGCAAAAGTATTACATAATATTATATTAAAAACTAAAGTTTGATTTAGAAATTTAAGTTTTAAATGTGTTTTACATTTATTCATGATAACCCTCCGCTTTCGAATTACGCAAGTTTTACAACATCACAAAGTATTCTGTCAAACCAATAAAGCATCTTGACAGGTGAAAGTTTGTCTC